TCTGAGAGGAAACTTCGCAGACCTGGGCAGGTGGGGGCAAAGTGCTGGGGCCCGGGTGTGGAACAGAACAAGGACGTGGCGGTGTGGAAGAGCCCGGGTGCTGCCACCTCCAATTTGAGGGTGTGGAGGATAGGGGGTGATAGCCCTGAGATGGGAGGTGTGTGTAGGATGACAGGTTGTGAACTCCGGAGTGGATTGGAGGGTGTGTCAGTCATTGTCCAGCCTGGAGAGGAGGGCAGTGAAGAGGAATGGGGTGGCAGGAAACATTCTGTTAGGGCAGGAAAGAAGATGAGGTGTGAGGAGCCATCTGGCAAGGACCCCGGGGAGATGTGATGGTGGCAGCTTGTGGGAAGTGACCGCAAGGCTTGTGGAATAGCTTGGGAGAAGGATATGACCTGGGGTGGTATTTGGAGGCGGGCAGAGCTGGACTGCATCTGGGCGCCTGGGGAAGTGTGGATCTCTTGAGAAGGCGTCCAAAGGAGCTTGGGGGTGGGGGTTCCCGCTTCTAGCAGCACCTCTTTCCCCCTCACGGTTTCTGTTTTAGCAGAGGTGAGTATCCAGTGACCACCCGTTAGCATTTTGCCCATAGGGTGAGTAGAGAGCACCCTACCGTTCTCTGGCCCTGCTGGGGATCGCAGTTGTGTGGCAGCTGAGATTTGGGGTTGAGGTGGGAGAAGCATCCTTACGTAAGTGCCCCTTGATTTTGTGTCTCACTCTACACCTGGAGCGCTCCCTGCACATGTTGTCGTGTGGTCTCGATACCCCACTGAGTAGGCAGCGCCGTTGTCATCGTCCCCACTCAGCACTTATTGGGCACTTACTATGTACCAGGCGCTGTGTTGTTTTAAGAGGCATGGCTCGATCCCTGCAATCTTTTGAAAGCGTAGGTGATATCCTCCGCCCTCTCCCCATCGTTTAAAAATAATCAAAAGAGAAAATGGAGACTTTGAGAGGGTCAGTGATTTAGCCAGGGTGACAGTTTGTGGGGGCAGCGCTGGTCTCTGGGCCTTCTAGCCCATGCTCTGTACCTCTCTACAGATGAGGAAACTTCCAGCAAACTCAGTGGCCTCCTCGGGCTTGTCCAAGCTGTCAGAGCAAAGCTGGGGTGAGCCTTGGTCTCCTGAACCCAGTGCCATGCACCCCCTCATTACCTCCTCTTTGAGATGAATGGGAAACGTGTGTTTATTCTTGGAGTTTGAGAGGAACTTGTGGATGGCACCTGCTTAGACTCTGTCTAGGGACAGCGTTTCTGCTGTTAGTAAAGTTCAAAGGTCTCAGGAGTGTGTGTGGCCAGATACACGAGAGTGAAAAGGGTCCATGTCCCCCTTGTTCCTTTCCTCCCCGCTGCGAACGCTTTTGCGTGTGAGGTATATGACATCATACGTTCTGTGTCATCTGGCGACTTTTTGCACATAGTCATGTGTCTTGGTGTTCCTTTCATACCAGCACAGAGGGCTCTTTCTGGTTCTTTCGATAACTGCATTCCACAGGATGTTTGTGCCATAGCTCATGTGCTTTGACTCCCATTGGTAGCCTTTCTGTGGCCTTAGAGGCAGCTGCAGTATTGATCCTCATATCCCCATGAGGACCCTGCGGGGTGGTTGAGGGGTAGGATGGAGGTGTCTATGAAATGGCGAATGGTGCCACCAAGTTGCCCGGTGTTTACACTCCCATCAGTGGCGCCTCTTTTTCCAGACTTCTGCTGGAGCACTTACCACTTACAGAGGTGTGACTTCTGATATCGCCAAGACCCAGACTTTCTGACCCAGTCAGAATTTTTTTTTAAAAGATTTATTTATTTATGCATACAGAACTGGGGTACAAGCCAGAGGTGTGGGGGTGAGAGAATTCACCAGAGACAGAGTGGGGAGCAGAACAGACAGATTGGCAAAGTACACTGCTGAGGAGAGCTGCGCCATGGGGGTCAGCTCACTGGGGATCAAACTCTGCCCAAAGGGCTCCCGTTGGCAGTGCTGCGCTTTTACCCATTATGCCACCAGGGAGGGCCCTGTGTCAGATTTTTGATAACCTCGGATACCTTTTCTCCCAACAGCCGAGTCCAGCTGCTCCTGACAGCCAGCGCTCAGCAAGTGTATGTGGAATGCCAGAAAGGCAGCCCCCAGAGCTGGGAGTGGGTGGGGGAGGCAGGGTCTGGGGCCTGATGAGGAGCAGAACTGCCAGGTTGAGGGGGCTGGTTCTGAGAAGCAGGTGATGTGGTATCTGCCCTCAGAAACTTCAGGCTCAAGAGGAGGCTGCAGACGCTATGTGTTTGTGCACAGTTGCATCCTCATCCTGTGAGGTGGCCACAGTGGGTGACACTTGTGGGATGGAGAGCTCTTTGAGGACAAGAGGAACCTCTTGGGGGGATCTGGACTGGCCCTTCACGTGGGAGCGGTGACAGGGAGCTGCAGAGTGGTGCCAGCAGAGGTGTGGGCGGCCCTCCCCTCCGCCAGCCTCCGGTGGCTTTCAGGGCTCTGCGGGCTCCTCCCTGCCAGGAGGAGAGGGGAGGCCAGCAGGCGCTGAACTGAACCCTGTCTGCGGGGACTGGGGCAGGGACAGAAAGGTCGGCGGCAGCCCCTGGGAGAACAGCGAAGCTCCGCGAAGGAGGCCTTTGAGAGGCTGCCTGGCTGGAGCGCAGCCAGGAAGGAGGAAGGGGCGGCGGGGAGGAGAGGTGGCGCTGGGGGGTGGGGGGGTTCTGACGGTCTGGGCAGGAGCAGTGGCAGTGGGCGGACCTGCGGTGGGGCCGGGGCCCTCTAGATCCCAGACTGACCTGCAGCCACCAGGGCACTCAGTGGCCACCACACTCCCCCTTTGGTGGGCTTCCTGGGGGACACTTGGGCGGCTTTGGTCTCTCCTTTCTTCGCCAGAGGAAATGGGAAGGGGACACCACAGAGTGGCGGGTGAGCGTGCCATTAGGAGATAGAGCAGGGCCTGGCGTGTGGCAGGGAGGACATGGGCGACTGGGGGCTGCTGCGGTTCCGGCTCTGCCTTCTCCCCACCCCAGGGCGCCAGTCCTGCCTCTGGGTTGCCTAGATCACCCCTTCCCTGCCACATTCTCCTCTGGCCACTGTCATTTCTCCGTGGGACTTCCGGGATTGACTCTTCCTGTGACTGGTCCCTCTGCCTTTAGTGCTGCTTCCCGCCCCCCGCCCCAGCCGTTCGGAGTTTCTTTGTAACCCGCACAGAGAACCATCCCTCCTGTGCCTACCACCCTTCCGTGGCTTTCCTGCGCTCTGGGGAGATGCGGGCGCCCCACAGGTCTGCGGCCCTGTGTAGGCACGTGTTTCCCGACCCTGCTCAGATGCCCTCTGCACTAGCATACTACGGTTCCTGCAGCCCACTGTGCCAGTGCGTGCCCCTTCTCACTGGCCAGGCGTCTTAGCTGAACTCTTGAGACCTCCAAAGGCAGCGGGGTGTCCATCCGACCCCCGCCGTGACGCCGCGCTCCCTAGTCTGGCTGGCGCACGCCTCGCTGCTCCTACTCTTCCGTCTGTCCCCTCCGTCCTGGCCGGGCCTCACCAGTACCTCCTAGAGTGGGTGCGGCGTTAGCCTGGCTCCCGCAGGCTGCCTGGCCATGAAGCCCAGGGCACAGGGTGGACGGGGAGCCGGTCACACCAGGCTTTTGTTGGGGGGTACACCTTTTTCTCATCCCCACCTAACGTGACTCATGGGCAGCGGGATTGGGGCGATGATACGAGATGAGACGCAAAGGGCAGAAACTTCCACTTCAGAGCTGTCAGGCACCTGCAGGCCTGCCTGTCTGGCCCTGGGCTGTCACAGGTGTGTGTGTGGCTTTAAAGTGCAAAAGAAAAAGGGAGGGGTGGCCCGTGTCAGCAGGCCGGTGAGCTCTCCTGGCAGTGCGTGCCTGGCCTGGCGAGGCCTTCTTGATCACTGTTTGTCCCACACCCCTGGGCAGGCCTGGCCCTGTCTGCAGTGGCATCTGATGCACAGTTGGAGCTGGGTAAGCCTGGAGGGCGGGAGCAGTCGGGAGCTGCCTGTCGTACCCTCTGCGAGGGCCCTGTGTAGCTCCTGGAAAGGAGCCTCTGGAGCACTTCTGCCTGCAGGGTAAATCCCTCGGCACGGGGACCTGCACTTGTACCATCATGGAAGTGGTCAGTCCCTTTGTCCGGGAGCAGCGTGTCACCTCACGTGTCGACAGCGTGCTGGCTGTTGGGCCAGCCAGTGCTGGCGTGACTTGGCTCTGTCAACCCCAGGGAGAGCCCTGATCCCTGGAGCCAGAGGGAGGTGCTGTGGGTAGTGACCAGTGGGTACCCCCAACCCCTGGGCAGAGGTCAGGGCCTTGCAGCCTCGAGAGAGAGCTGTGCTACTGTTGCGTCCCAGCGAGGCGCTGCCCTTCTTCCTGGCTTGGAAGAGGTATGGAGGGCAAGACTGGAGGCTCCTCACGGAGCCCTGGGGCCCCTGGGGCCCCTGGGCAGGCACGTGCTGGTAGCATTGGCTCCTGGGAGACAGAGCTGCTGGGGCAGGAGACCTGTAAACTGCGGACACCCCTACTTGGTGGGCCTCAGGGCCACAGGAATCAGGCTTCCTTAAAGAACAGGGTGTGTCAACCTGCCAGAGAGTGGATGGGGACAATAAAATGCTCATAGGGAGGGGCTGGTGTTTATTAGCCTGAGAGCAGGGGAACACAGGCAGACACTCTCAGGAGCCCCATTTTGTAAAGGGGGACAATGGAAGCTCAGCAACTAAGTGGCCAGGCCAGGCCTAGCTCTCAGGCGGGACACTGAGCAGGTGGGGAGCAGCCCTGCGCTCGGGCCTCAGCAGAAGGGCTTCCGGAACTGGCCGGGCCAGGATCCTGCCTCGAGGCCATTGGCGCGTGTCTCCAAATGACCTGTTGACAGAGCAGGCAGGGCGCCTGTGCCAGCAGACGGTGTGAAGCGCCTGTGCCAGCAGACGGTGTGAAGTGGTTGGTAGGGGCCAGGTCAGGCCTGTGCCATGTCTCCCTACTCCTGGGAGCATCCAGTGGGCCGCTCGTGCTCATGGCGGGGGCTGAGTGGGAAAGCGTTTGCATCGGGACGGAGCCAAGCCGAGCCACCCACTCTGTCCCTGAGCTCTAGAAGCAGCTTCCCACGCCTGGAGCCAGATGCTCTGGTAGAAATAGTGAGATGCCACCCCCACCAGCAGCCTGAGGGCAGCACCTGCCTGGGCGTGGGGCTGTTCAGCCTTCCTCCACCTTCACCCCAGAGGGCAGGGACCAAGCTCATTTTCAGGCTGGGGCGCCTCAGGAGCTCTCCCCAGGCTGACATGGCAGGGCACTGGCTGCAGCTCCCTGGAACATGACCCAGCTCCCCAGCAGGGGGCGAGGAAGAGGCCCAGGGGCCTCCCCCCTAAGCCAGTGGACCTGGCTCTCATTCTTCAGGCCACGGAGGGGCTGCTGAGTGTCAGTCACTGGGGCAGGGGCTGGAGCTGATTGACTTGGGTGCGTGGGGACTCTGAGTGAGCTGTTCTCCTGTTTGCTCCCCTCCGACCTGCCAGGCTCAGGTGGCCTTCCTCCAGGGAGAAAGGAAGGGCCAGGAGAATCTCAAGACAGACCTGGTGCGGCGGATCAAGATGTTAGAGTACGCGCTGAAGCAGGAGAGGTGAGCCCTGCTCCTGCCTCCCGGGGCAGTTGTGGGAGGAGGCAGCTGCCTTCCGTGCAGGAGACCTGGGCCAGGTGGTCTCACTGGTCCTCCTGCGGGTCTGGGAGAGGCAGACAGGACAAGACAGGGTTCAGGGTGGACTCTGTGGCACTGTTCCCCACAATGGGCCTGGCTTGCTTGTCCTTCCCAGGCTGCACAGGAGGCTGCCGGGGGCAGGGGCTGGGCGCGCTTCTGGGGGACAGCTGCAGCAACCCAGTCTGCCCAGCTAGGAAGAGTGGGCATCCATGACGCGATGCTTCCGGTGCCAGGCTGCTTCCTGGGGCACAGCTCGGCTTCAGACTAGGAGGGCAGTGGGAGGAGGCCCGGGGTGGGGGTGGAGGGGCTCCTGCGGTGAGCACGGCCTTGTCAAGTCTTTTGTCTCTCATTTGCTTTAGAGCCAAATACCATAAATTGAAGTTTGGGACAGACCTGAACCAGGGGGAGAAGAAACCAGATCAGTCGGAACAAGGTACCTCCTCTTTCCCCAAAACAAAGCTGATGTGGGCTGGAAGGGGTTGAACCCCCACCCTGGCAGGTCTGGGGGGAAGGTAGTGATGAAGGCTGTCTGGCCTGCGTCCCTCTGACATATGGGCACAAAAGGTCCCTTTTGGCCTAAGCTCCCTGGAACATGACCCAGCTCCCCAGCAGGGGGCGAGGAAGAGTGTGCCAAGCCCAGAGACATAAGAGTGTGGTCTGGGAGCCATCAGGGAGCTGTTGGGGTGACCGGGACAAACTGAGGGCCAGCAAGGTACGAGCATCCTGCCAGGGCCTTCACTGCCAACTACTAGTGATTGTTGTCCTTCCCGGCAGGCTCTGCGCCAGAACACAGTTCCGCAGGCCCCGGTCATTGTTTACTGATGGAGCTCGGGCATCCTGCCAGGCCAGAGTAGTTGCCCGACAAACATTTTATGGATCAGATAAACAGATTATCTCACTTAATCCTTACAACAGTCCCGAGAGGCAGATGCTGCTATTATTAACTTCATTTCTCAGAAGAGGAAACTGAGGCTCAGTAAACTGACCTGCTGAAGGTCACGCAGCTGGGAAGTGGCAGAGCTGGACTTGAACTCTGCGAGTCTGCCCGTTCCCAGGCGCGGCTGGGAACATCTAGCCCTGAGTCAAGATGCAGAGGCGGGAGGTGGTTCGGGACCTGACCCGGCCAGGAGATGACAGGTGCAGAGGGGAGGGGCGGGTTTCACATACTCCCAGAGGGTGACGATGCAGATTCGTGACAGTGACTGACACAGGTTTGAGGGTGAGGGGTGCGTGGTGGTACCCTGAGACCGGTCCGTGGCAGTGCCCTGCCTCTTCTCGCCATCCTGCAGTCCCCAATGGCCCGGTGGAGACGGTCACCCTGGAGAACAACCCGCTGGTGTGGAAGGAGGGGCGGCAGCTTCTCCGACAGTGAGTGTGCAGAGGGCTGAGGGGAGGTGGGGGCGGGGAGGGACAAGTGGCTTGGGAGATCAGCCTCAAGTCTTCCTGTCCCCTTTGGGGACTCTGAGCTGCAGACTGCACCACCGCAGCTGAGCTGGCCTGTCACCGGGAGGGTGGAGCCTTGACTGGTAGATGAGCTGAGGAGGCAGACATGGGACACCCCCGCTCTTGGGAAGCAGCCCCAAATGCTTCTGTGACTTTTGTCCCCAAGAATTATGTTATTTTTCACTACCAAAGAGACTTGTGCATTTTGGAAACTTGGGAAGTACAGGGAGGCACAAAGAAAACGAACAACCACTCTAGCCTGCCACGGAGGGATTTCCTGCCCCACAGACGTCTGGGCACGTGTCCTGCAGCCCTCCACAGCTGTGCTTGTGTCTGTGGCTTTTATTCTTTAAACTTTTAAAACAATTTTTGTGTTTTAAAAGGGCAGGTTTATTGAGAAAAGGGCAAAAAGGCGCTTACGCAGTCACAGGCAGGAGCGATGTCTTTGTTGCGAGAGGCCGAGACTGCTGGTCCAGGGCGGCAGGACACCCCCTCAGCGTTTTGTAGGGCACTCCTGTCACACGTGGACATCTTTCATATAAACTAGGTACACTGCATCGAGCGATGGTATGCCTTGTGCGTGAACCAGAACAGTCCTTATTGTGTATGTTTAAAGTTGTTTTTATAGGCAGGGCGACAGACAGCAGGAAGTTATCTGTGTAGATCCTTGACTTCCTTAAGCTCAGTATTGGGAAGTGCGTTTGCTCCCTCAGTGTATGGAGGATGCGGTGAGGGCCACACGCACCACGCCCCTGCCGTGCACTGGCGCTGAGCCAGATGCCCCTGCACACGCTGACTCTTCGTGTGGATCCTGCGGCCTCACAGGAGAAATCAGGTGCAGAGAGAGCGTCTTTTTGCTCAAGGTCACGTGGCTGAGATGTGGTCCAGGAGTCTGCCCCAAAGCCCCCTGCAGCTCATGCTTCCCTCTCCGGCCCTTGGCTGGGGGAGAGCAGACCTCAGACCCGGGCCGCCAGGCCCCAGGGTGAGACCCCCGTGAAGGCAAGTGTGGTCGTCAGGCTGCAGGGACAGACAGGGCGGCGAGTGATCAGGGTGGGCTGACGGAGCCGCTTGAGGGCCAGCTGAAAGCTGTTTGTCACTCCTTTTTTGTTTTTTAAGATTTATTTATGCACACAGAACTGGGGTATAGGCCAGAGGTGTGGGGCTGGTGAGAGGATTCATTAGAGACAGTGGGGAGCAGAACAGGCAGATCAACGAAGTCCACTGCTGAGGGGAGCAGTGGCGAGACAGGAGAGGTCTGCTGCGCCTTCTGGGTCACTCCGTGGCTGGGGATGGAACCCATCCTGCAGTGGCTGTGGACGGCTTCACAGTGCTGTGTTTTAATCCGTAGCACCACCAGGAAGGGCCCCCTTTAGTTGAATTTGTTTTAAAGCTTTTAGACTCGTCCCAACTGGCTTCAGTGTTTAGAATTGCACAATTAACCAGTCCTCTCTTGCAGGAGTAGACTAGGTCGTCCACGTCCCTCTGACAGTCCCTGACCCCAGCACACTTCTGCCAGGCCGGGCTGCGGGAGGCCTTCCACTCGCGCTCTGTGTGTGGTTTGTCCCTATCACGCCAGTGAGTCTGTCTTGCTTCCTTTTTTAAAACAGACACTTGAGTTGTACAGAACACATAGCTTAGGACTTCAAGCTGTTTCTCACGCTCCTCTCTCCTGGGCACTTGGCTTCGCTTACTTGCTGTCCAGCATCCCCATTACAGGACCATGTCCACATCCTGCCCACATATCTGGCTCCCGCTGGAAGCTGTCTTAAGAGTGAAGGAGTGGGGTCGGGATCAGCTTGCCTGAAAGGGGATGTATGCTCCCAAGGTGCTCCTCCAAAAATGGCCCCCCTGATGTGTGCTGGCCCGAGGTCTGTGAAGAAGCCAGTGCTACCCGGTTGTATCTGTTCTGCCGCCTTGCAGGTACCTGGAGGAGGTGGGCTACACGGACACCATCCTAGACATGCGCTCCAAGCGCGTGCGGTCCCTACTGGGCCGCTCCCTGGAGCTCAACGGGGCGGTGGAACCCAGTGAAGGGGGCCCCCGGACTACACCAGGCCCTGGGGGCCTCAGTGGTGGGGAGTCGCTGCTGGTGAAACAGATTGAGGAGCAGATCAAGAGGTGAGGCCCACGTGCGTGTGTGCTGCCCCCCGCCCAGGGGGACCCATGTCGGAAAGTCAGCAGTGCTTGGGGAGCTCCCGGTGCCCTTCCTCCTGGGGTACACCTGGCACCTTTGTTCTGAACCCTCTGTCCCTTGGTGGTGGGGACCCCTGGACCCTGCCCTGGGTCCCCTGCGGCCTCGCCATTGCGTGGTGGTGCAGCAGAGCTTGCTCACCCTGACCGTGGGGGCAGGGCTGGGGGTCGCCCCATGATGGTAGCCCTCAGCAGGACCGGGGACACAGCGCCTCAGGAGCTCTTCCTCCGCTTGCAGTAGCTGTAGTTCATTGACATAGCGAGTGAGGTTGCGTGATCCTGAGTGATGAGCTTGGGGGGCGTGTCACGGCGGCGCTAGGCCTGCTCTGGATGAGGGTGCCAGGGGCTCCTGTGGAGGGGCCCCTGCCTGGCCCCGAAGGGAGGGCACCCGGGGCCGGAGGAGCATGTCCAGGCAGAGAGCAGCAGGGTAAAGGTTCTGTGAGCGAATAACCTGTCTCGGAGCCCAGAGCGCCGGCTGCACGGTGAGCATGTGGCTGTGGTCTGTGGTGAGGCGGTGAGATCACAGCGGGCCTCGGGTGAGATAAGGAGTTTGAGTTTGACTAACAGATTTGGGGGTCAGTGATTTCGGCCAAGCTGTCACGTGAGCTGGTCTGCTTCAGGGAGAGGAGGCTGGCGGGGGCAGTCCTGCACCCTCCAGGTGAGCAGTCTGGGGTGGAGAAGGGCTTAGAGGTGGACCTGATGCTTCCGTGGACATAATGTAAAGGACTGGGTGAGGGTGAGGGGGCGAAACTAGGGTGACTCCGGCTTTGGCGTGAGACTGGGGGGGCAGTACTGACTAAGGTGGGGAGACAAGAAGTGGCTGGTGAGCGGCTGTTCAGGACAGGTGAGCTGGAGGTGCTGTGACAGCACGTGCAGGGGCAGGGGCAGCGCAGAGCTGGGCCGGGCATCTGGTTCCTGACTGCTGCTGCTGCGCACAGACGGCCTCTAGCAGCCCAGGGCTCCGGGAGAGTGCAGGTGTCCTGGGGGTGCAAGCATGGAGGCCCGGTAGGCGCAGGAGGCTGAGCTTGCAGCCAGTGCTGGGAGGGCCCCCGAGGGTGCTGCCGATGGGCTGTGGGGGGGCAGAGGCCAGGTCTCCACGCAGCGCCTGGCAGTTGACAGCTTCTGGCGTGCCAGCTCCATGGCAGGCGAGCGGAAAGCCTGCGAGCCACCCTCACCCTCCCCTGGCGTCAGGCTGGCACATAGTCCTTTGCTGGAACTGGCCCCAGCTGGAGGCGTTAGACAAAGGGCCGGGGTGGGACCAGAGTGCCGGAGGTCCGTGGGCCTGCCTGCGAAGAGAGAGTGTCCCTCTCCTGGGGGCAGTCTGCCCACCTGACCGGCACTGCTGGCTTGACCGGCGGCACTTCTGCCCAGCTTTCCTCCGGCTTGGCACATGGGGAAACGTGTGGTCAAGGTTGGGGCTCATTCTTCAGATCTCAGGGTTCCTTGTTCGGTGAGAATATGGGCCTTGTCTGTAGTCCAAGTGAGGGTTTGAGCGGCCTGTGAAACCGAGACTGGGACCCGGGCCTGTCGGGACCAGTCGAGGCTGCCCTGAGTCAAAGTGAGCTCAACCCCCTGAGGCTGGGTCCAGGCTCCGGCCAGCATGCTCTAGGGCCCTGCCCCTGGGCTCTGTCACCTGGCAGGACTGATGGGCCTCTGGCCTGCTGTCATGCACAGGAATGCGGCAGGCAAAGACGGCCCAGAGCGCCTGGGCAGCTCTGTGCTGGAGCAGATCACCTTCCTGCGGGACTGCGAGGAGGAGGACAGCGACGAGGACGACGAGCTGGACAGTGTGCAGCACAAGAAGCAGCGCGTGAAGGTGAGCGCAGGCCCCAGGTGTGCCCTGGCTCTCCCCCTTCACATGGAACCCCACGCTGGGTGCTCAGGGCCACACTCGGGACCTTGGTCCCCGTAGAGGCGCCTGGTCTGCGCTGACAGGGCCACACCGCTGCCCTGGCCTCCCCCACGCCACTTCCTCAGTCCTCCCCATGCCCCCTTTTAGCCTCAGGGTCTTTCCTGGACCCAACACCTGCACCACAGCCCCTCACGGCGCGCTTTCCCCTGGGCTGGCCGGCCAGGGCTGCGTGGACAGTGTGTGGGGCTGTCTCCCCTGATAGTGAGCACCAGGCTGGGCCTCTCCCCGGCACCCTGAAAGGGCATGAGGGGTGGGTTCCCTTTGGATGCCAAGGGAGTCTGTCAGCAGGCATCTGACGCCCAAACCCTCTGGGTCCGCCCCACGTGCTGTTGGCAGGGGTGCAGTCTGGGTGGCAGCTTGGCCCAGAGGGCGGCATGCCCTGGCGTGGTGTGGGCGTTTCTGTACACCGAGCATCCATTTGGGCCTTCGTGTGCCCACTCTGCTGGCAGCAGGCCATGGGGCACAGGTGCAGTCCCCAGTGTTGAGGAGCTCATGGCTGGCAGTGGGCTTGTGAGTGGTCACCCGCAGAGGGAGGGACACGTCCCCACAAGAGGGGTCTGTGGCAGACAGCCTCTAGCACTTTCTATAACCTGGCCTCCCCAGCAGAACCCCTCCCCTCCTCGGCCCCACTCAGACGCCCCCTCCAGCTGTCTCCTCTGACTTGCCCTCGCTCCCTTCCCCACAGGGGCTGGCGTCTCCTCTGAGCTCCTCTGTCCTGAGCCAGACCTCTCTGGGACCCCAGCCCCCACCTGTGCTGGTCTGTGTGGTACAAGGCTCCCTGGCCTCTGCTGTCACTGGGTCCCCAGCGTGGCTCCGCACTGGGTCCCCCAGGCGAAGGGCTACCCACCGAGCAGGGATTGGGGGCAAGAGGACAGGTGCCCCAAGCCTGGGCCCTGCCCTGGAGGACTGCCCCCTTGTCCAGATCCCCCGCCCCCGCCTGCCCCGTAGGGGTTGCCACTCCCCTTTCAGGTCTTGTGCACCTCGGCCAGCTCGGGACACTTGCCCACTCCTCTCTGCCCCCTCCAGACCGTTGCTGGCTCTTATGCCATTGCAGCTGTCACCGCTGTCGTCTCACTGCCCCTTGTGCCCGCTCAGGCCCATCTCCCCACGGCAGCCCTGCAGTGAGGCTTGGGAGCTGGGAAGCCGGGCTGAGCCAAGGTCTCCTGTGACTGGCGGAGTGACCGCTGGCTGGCTGCCTGGTCTGGGCACGTGGTTCTCTGAGTCTTAGCTTCCATTTCCGTAACAGTCCCTGCTCTGGATGATTGAGCATTTAATTAAAAGGAGTTTACGCTCGGAAAGCCCTTGGCGGCTCTCAGCAGCGTGGTGAGTGGCGGCGGCCCTGCCCGCTCTGGGCCCTCTCTGGGGCCCGTCGCGCTCCCTCCTGGTACGGCCCCACGCAGCCCATACTCCGTAGAGCCCCAGCCCTGGCCCTGGCCTCCCGCCATGCTGGGTCAGCCTCCACCTGAGGCCTCCGGGGGCAGGGAAGGTGCGGGGCCTGCACCCCTGCTCCTCCCTGCAGCTAGAGGCTGGCCTCGCCATCGGAGAGGTGTTGCCTCGAACCCTTACCCTCCTGACCTAGTTTGGGGTACTGGGCCTATGGGAGGGAAGGGGACCCAGTCACCCAGGCAGAGGCTAGGCCCATGGCACAGCCCGGCACCTTCTACCCCAGAGATGCCGATTGAGCCAGCGGTCACTCAGATCCCAGGGCTTGTCGGGGTGGGGGCAGGGTGGGTGGTAAGCTCAAATACCAAAATCACCCTTGAGAATTCTGGAACACTCTTAAGCCGGTAGGTACAGATTGGAGGCTTCAAGTCCACAAAACCTGGACGGTGCTTTGTGGGAAACCGAGGCTTAGGCCTCGAGAGGGTGCGGGGCCTTCGGGACGGCCCCTTCCAGGCTGGTCAGAGGTGTTGGTGGGGAGCTGCAAAGTGCACAATCGGGGAGCCCGAAGCCAGCGGGCGCGGCTGCTCCCATGAGGGCGCTGCGGGGCAGGCTTGTGGCCGCGCTCACCTGCAGCAGCCTGTGCTCGACTGAGGCCAGCAGGCCCCAGCACCCATGGCTCCCTGACCATCAGGCGAGCCTTGGACCTGGTGGCCCTCAGCAGGGGCTACGCTGCTCAGCCTCGGCCCCCTCCCATGCATGCAGACCTTGTGGCCAGGAAGATAACTCTGCAGGCGTGAGGAGCTGGGCACTCATGGAGTGTGGTGCACGGAGGCGCTCCGTGTTCCACCTGTCCGGCCGCTGCTATGGGTCTGGTCTCCTGGCTTTGTGTACCACCTTAAACACAATGTGTCTTACCCCAAATAGGACACCCCACTTTCCTTCTTGAGAAGTACTGTGCTGGGGCCCTGTGGCAATGGGAAGCACTCGCTGGGAGGCTTCATGACGAGATGTGGGGAGGAAGGGGGTTTGAACGCTGCGCTGGGGCGCACTCCCCCTCACTCCCACTCCGTCCCTGGCCCTTGCAGGCTGCACTTCCTAGAATTCGCAGCAGAGGGAGCACATGGTCAGTGGGCATCACCGGGACCTGGGCCGACCGCCCTGAGAGTGAAGCCCCGCCAGACCCAGGCCAAGCACACTGATGTGTCTGTTCCCAGAGCCCTGGGTGGGCTTGGGCTGTGGGCAGAGGCCTCTGACCAGGCTGGTTTCCTCCACGCCCTAGCTGCCATCCAAGGCCCTGGTGCCTGAAATGGAGGACGAGGATGAGGAAGATGACTCAGAGGACGCCATCAATGAGTTTGACTTCCTGGGCTCAGGAGAGGACGGGGAGGGCGCTCCTGACCCTCGGCGTTGCACGGGAGACGGGACCCACCATGAACTGGGTGAGTTGAGGCTCCTCTGACCAGCCTTTCTCACCAAGGGTGGTGGCGACATCTTGGGTCCTAACCCTTCCATACATAGCTACCTGCAGCTGCTTCCTGTCCATGTCTCCGCCGGACGGATATGCTTCCGGAGAGGAGCATGGCCAAGGAGCGCAGAAGGCTCAGGCCACACTGTGCAGGCCCCTCGCCCCTTCCCAGGAAAATCCCCGTGGGGGTGCCGCAGGCCTGGCTCTTCCTGCAGCAGGCTTCCAGCCCTCCATGCAACCATGCAGTCCCAGGCAGATCTCGGGGGGGGGGGGGGCAGAGCGAGGACCGGGGGCGAGCGGACGGGGCAGTGCTGTTTCCTCCCATGACTCCGAGCTCCCTGGCCTTGGGTCGCGTGGGCTGAGTGGACACAGAGGCTCCAGCAAGGGCAGCGACTCGCCTTCTGTCCACTGCAGATCGCGATCCTGGTGTACCCTGGGCCGGGGCTCCCCTGCCTCTCCCCACTCACTTGCGAAAGAGGCTTTAGGGGTGGAGGCAGCACTGTGGCTGGGTTGGACTGGGGGTGACTTCTGCCCTGTGTCCTGCCCCTGCAGAAAGCCGGCGAGTCAAACTCCAGGGAATTTTGGCTGACCTACGGGACGTGGACGGGCTACCCCCTAAAGTCACTGGCCCTCCTCCTGGCACACCCCAGCCCCGGCCACATGAAGGTAAGAGCCCCCCACCCATCTAGTCCTGCGGGCCTGTGGCGGAGGGGGGCTGCAGGACCAAGCCCGGGACTCCTGTCCTCGGGCTGAGGCCCGGCCTCCTCTGCAGGCTCCCTGTCCCAAAAGTTGGTCTGTCTGTCTGTCTCTGTCTCCCTCTTTGTCTGTCCTACCCTGTCTGTCTGCCTGTCTCTCTGTCTCTTCTTTCCAGCTGTGACTCTTGATCTTACCTTCTTCCTCTCTCTCTTCCTCCCTCCTTATCTCTTTCTCTCTCGGCCTCTGTCTCTTCTCTCCCCTGCGCCCTCTGCCCCCTCCTTCCCCTCCCCCTACCAGGTTCCTTTGGCTTCTCCTCAGACGTCTTCATCATGGACACTATCGGGGGCGGGGAGGTGAGCCTGGGGGACTTGGCAGATCTCACCGTCACCAACGACAACGACCTCAGCTGCGATGTAAGTTCTTGGGGTGCCCCACGCGTGCAGGTCCCCCCGCCATCTTGCAGGGCCAGCACTTGCTGAGCTCCTGTGCCCAGCTGCACTCAGCACAGGGGCAACGCGGGTGGTCAGCAGCCCCCGTTTCACAGCAGGGTCACGGAGCACGGGCCTGGAAGACTCTGGAGTCCTCGTCTTTTTTTTAAAAAAGATTTATTTTTATTTTTGCATATAAGAACTGGGGTGTAGACCAGAAGTGGGGTTGAGAGGACTCACTAGAGAAAGAGTAGGGAGCAGAACCAGCAGAAGTGCTGTATCCCCTGCTCAGGGAGCAGCGGGGAGACAGGCGAGGCCTGCTGCGCCCTGGGGATCCCTCCCTGGCCGGGGGTGGACCTCGTGCCTCGGGCTGCCCAGTGTCACGTGCTGAGGCTTGACCCCGTGGCGGCAGCCCTCGTCTTAGTCAACGGCGCCAGGCTTCTCCAGGCCACACTCCTCCCTCCCCTGGTGCAAACGAACACCTCGTGGTGAGGGAGGAGCCTGGAGGCTGAGTCTAAAGACAGCGGCAGGAAGAGTGGTCTGGGCTGGCGCAAGGCAGGGTGCTCGGGGGCGAAAGAGCTGACCTCTTTAGGGAAGGTGGCGTCCAGCCAAAAGCAGACAGAAGGTGAGCTAGTCCAGGGTGAGAGCCATCGTGCCGTGGGGCGGGAAGGGGGGCACCCTGAGGGCTGCGGTGCTGAGCCCGGACCTGCACGGGCCCTGAGGCAAGACACGCCCATGCGCGCGACAGGACCTCAAGTGACCGGTGAGGTCAGGAGCAGGGACCCTGACGCTGGGCTCTGCACCCCCGAGATGCCACCCCTCTGAGCCAGGCACTGGTAGATTGTCTGGCCCTAAAAAACTGGCTGAAGTGGCAGCTGAGGCGGGGGCCTCCGGGCAGAGATCTTGGGATGAAGATCTTGGGCTTCGTCAGTGCAGCCCCATCTTCCCGGGATCTGGGTACTCGGCCCCGCGCAGTCGTTGGCTTGCCTTTTCTGGGTGCCCTTCCTGGCCTCCAACTTGGAGAGTGGCACCGCCAGCCCCAGCCCTGTGCGGGGCTCTGCCCTTGTCCCAGCGCCGGCTCCACGATCTGTTTCCCTGAAACTGCCCTCTTGACCCCTGACCTCTCCCTATGGCCCCCTGATCCCAGCCTCCCCTGGGAGGCCCTGTCATGCCCTGCCCCGCGCCCTTCCATGGCTCCCTGTTTCCTTAAGGCTGAGGTGCTAGCTGCTGAAGGCGCCTCTCTGTCATGGCCTCTGGCCCAGGATCGCTCTGGCTGCCTCTGGACTCACGGCCTTTGCACACGCAGTTTCCTTCGTTAGCCCCTCGCCTTACCTGGTTGAGTCCTGCTTATTTGTCAGTTCCCCAGGAAAGCCTTGTAGGCCCCACAGAAGAGGGCAGGCTTGTGGACCCACAAACCCTCCGCTGCCCCATGCCAGGAGGGTGTGGTCAGTCCTGAGCACTAGTAGGACAGTCTGATCATCTCCCCTGCCCCAAGCCAGGAGAGCTCACGGTTCTGCTTACCTTTGCTCACCCGGAACTTAGCACAAGCCCACACATTGTAGGAACTGGAGTGAGTGAGACTAGGAGGAAGGGGAGGGGAGACTGTCAAGGGAAGGCCCTGTGTGAGGTTCTCCCGGGACCCTGGCCGGGAAGGACATGGCCTGGGGGTCCCTAATGTCAGCACTGGCGTCGTGTCTGCGGGACTGGCGGGAAGACACTGAGGCAGCTCCCTTGGCCCGCAGCTGTCTGACAGCAAGGATGCCTTTAAGAAGACCTGGAACCCCAAATTCACCCTGCGCTCACACTACGATGGCATCCGCTCCCTGGCTTTCCACCACAGCCAGTCAGCTTTGCTCACCGCCTCAGAAGACGGCACCCTCAAGCTCTGGAACCTGCAGAAGGCCGTCACGGCCAAAAAGTGAGGGCCACAACCTTGGTGGCAGGGGGCGGGGCGGGCGATGCAGGGCGCAGTGACTTCCAGCTCCTCGTTTTCTCCCTAGGAATGCCGCACTAGATGTGGAACCTATCCATGCCTTCCGGGCTCACAGGTAAGGGAGGGTGGGTCCCCAAAACTGCTAGCCCACCGCCACCACGCAGTCATGACGGGGAGGCAGGGCAGCAGAGGGCTTGAGGCCCTCCAGTCCCACTCCTGCTTCTCAGCAGGAGGAAGACAAGGCCGGTGGGGTGGCAAGGCCGGCAGCTTGCCTGGTGGTGCCCCTTAACCCCTAGGCTGAGTTCCTTTTGGCCGGAAGCATCCCAGTAGCTCACTTGAAGGTTGGGGGGCAAGGGCAGCAGGCGGGGGTGCACTGAGTTCTCTATCCCTGCCCCTACCCTCTGTATCTTCCAGGGGCCCTGTTTTGGCAGTGACCATGGGCAGCAACAGTGAATACTGTTACAGTGGTGGGGCCGATGCCCGCATCCACAGCTGGAAGATTCCAGACCTCAACATGGACCCCTATGATGGTTACGGTGAGGACAGGCCCTGCCCTCCCATCCCTCACCCTCATGGGGCCCTTCGGTTCTGACAGGCCACACCTAGCCAGTACCAAGCCACCTGGTGCTGGGGTGGGCGCCAAGGCCGCCGTCTGGCCCAGCATAGGCCGCGTGGCGCAGCCTGGCGAGCAGGCGTGCAGCGAGCCTCGGGCGGGGCCGGGCCGGCCAGAGCCACCTGTGTTCTTAGCTCGTGGCTGAGTGCTGGGAATACAGCTCACGTGTTTCCTTTGTGCAGACACTATTCTGGGCCCTGGGGGCACAGAGGAAACAGGGGAATCCCTACTATCTGAAGTGTCTGTTTCTGGGGTGCCGTCAATGCCCCAGAACCTTTCCAGAAGAGCAGGTGGACGACAATGAGCGGCTTCTGTGGGTGTATGACAGTTCTGGGGTGCAGCGGCAGCCCTGCCGACAGGGTGTGAGCAGGGCCCGACCCTGACGCTCCCTCCTTTCGGTGGGTGCAGACCCCAGTGTGCTGAGCCACGTCCTGGAGGGCCACGTGGACGCCGTGTGGGGCCTGGCCTTCAGCCCCGCCTGCCAGCGCCTGGCTTCCTGCTCCGCCGACGGCACCGTGCGCATCTGGGACCCCAGCGGCAGCAGCCCTGCCTGCCTCTGCACCTGCCCCACAGCCGGCGGTGAGCAGGGGCGGGCAGGGCTGGAGGAGAGCAGGGTGCCAGCCTGCGAGGGCCCGCGGGCCCCGGGGCAGCGTCCGCTCTGTCAGGCAGCCTCCCTCCCTCCCCGCTGCCCCAGATCACGGCGTCCCCACCTCAGTGGCCTTCACCAGCACCGAGCCTGCCCACATCGTGGCCTCCTTCCGCTCTGGCGACTCCGTCCTGTACGACCTAGAGGCCGGCAGTGCCCTCCTCACGCTGGAGTCCCGGGGTAGTAGTGGTAAGTCCCTGGCCAGGGCTGGGATCTGGAAGCCTCAAGCCCCGTTTTCTCCCCGGGCTTTGGTGACGGATGGATGCCCAGTCGGCTGAGGGGGGCTCCCCCATCCCTGGGGGCTCTGAGCAGGATGAGGATAAGGCCCAGGCGCTGCCCTGACCGTGGTGTCCGGGGTGGCCAGGGCTCGCCTGTCAGGCCTGCTGACGGGGCAGGGGGCATGACCACGTCCAGCGGTGCCGCCCCACACGCTACCGAGGGCATAGTGCTGGTGGGACAGAGCATGCTGTGGGGATCTGGCTCCTCTCTTGTCCTGGTCTCCCTGACTTCTCCCTTTTCCACCCAGGTCCGACCCAGATCAACCAGGTGGTGAGTCACCCGAACCAGCCCCTCACCATCACTGCCCACGACGACAGGGGCATCCGCTTCCTGGACAATCGGACAGGTGGGGCCCGGCCTTCCCATCCGCACCCACCAGCCCACGCACCTGTGTGCGTGAGGCCAGGGACGAGCCATCCCAGAGGGCAGGACCCCAGGTTCTGTTCTGTTGGAGCAGCCCCACCTGCTGAGGCCAGGCAGGGCTCAGACCGGAGACTAACCTGCCCTCCCACCCCCCAGGGAAGTCTGTGCACTCCATGGTTGCCCACCTGGACGCAGTCACCTGCCTAGCAGTCGACCCCAACGGCGTATTCCTGGTGTCAGGAAGTAAGTTGGGGCCCTCCTGGCTCCTAGGAGAGAGACCTGGGCATTGGCCCTGAGCGGGTGTTCTGGGGGATCCCTGCCCCTAGTATGATAGGAGAGTTTGCCAGCAGGGTTAGGGAGCCCCTTGGCCGGACACTGCCTGGAGACAGCAGCCCCCACACCTGCCTGCATCTGCGTACCTGTGCGTGTCCCCATCGACGGGTGGGGGAGGGCACAGGAAGCCACACGGCTCTTTCACAGCCACGAGGGGTGTAGGGCTTGGACTTGGTCCCCATGGCATGTTCAGCGTTGGGGGCCCTGCTGTCTAAGCTTGAGGCCTGATGACAGTGGCACCACGGGGCTGGGACATGGAGGCAAGGGGGGAGGTGCACGCTGGCAGCCTGGGGAGGCCTGACCCACGAGCCCACTACCTGGAGGAGACGACCGGAGTGGGTGTCTGGGAGCACGGGCAGCAGGGATGGAGGGGGTCCGGGGGGCTGCAGCAGCCACCCCGGAGTGCACCGCCCCAGGCAGCTGCCTCCAGGGAGCACGCAGAGAGGTCGTGTGCCCACATCGCTGCTGTCTCCCAGGGAGCACTCAGGACAGGTGGGCAGAGCGCCAGCACCCGCCTCACCCCCCGGGCCCCCAGCGCCCCCGAGGCCGTCCCAGGCTCCAGCCTCCTGCCCTGCCTGTCTCCTGTGCAGCTTCCTCCTGTCAGCCCTTCACGGCTGTGCCTGGCTGCCACCCGGCCTCCAGGGCTCCCCCACGTCTCCTTAGCCCTCCCGCCTTCACGCAACCGACCATCTGAGTTACTCATTTTCTTCTTTACTGTCTCCCCCCATGAGTGGTGACCCCAGGAGCAGGGAGACTGGCCTGTTTCCTTCTCTGCACCCCCACAGTCCTTGTGCAGTAGAAGCCTGGTAGATGTTTGAGGACTCGATGGAAATTAGGGGGGGACAGAAGGCTCCCTGGCAGGCCTGTGTCCAGGTCACTGGGCAGAAGGGACAGGAAGAGGATGGAGTCCTCTCCAGGTACTTAAGGAGATAGGTCTGAGTGAGCAGGCGGGGTCCTCGGGGTGTCTGGTGACAGACCCACCCCACCTGCCAGGCCACGACTGCTCTTTGCGCCTGTGGAGCCTGGACAACAAGACGTGCGTACAGGAAGTCACGGCCCACCGCAGGAAGCACGAGGAGGCCATCCACGCCGTTGCCTGCCACCCCAGCAAGGCTCTCATTGCCAGCGCTGGCGCCGACGCTCTGGCCAAGGTCTTCGTATGATGCCCGCCTGGCCCCACCCTGGCCGCCGAGCTGGCTAGGGAGCGGGGCTGGGCGGCAGGGACTGAGGTGAGAGGCTGGCGGACGCGAGTTTTGAACTGGCAGGGCAGGAACCTGCGTGCCAAGCCCCACAGTGCAGCTGCAGTGGGGGCGCCCTGGCTAGAGGAGGGGGCTGCCGGGACTGGTTGTGGAGGTGGTGGTCCAGACCCACCTGTGTGGGTCTCTGTCCCACACAGGTTGCTCCCGCCTCTTCCCGCCGGCCTGGGGCCTGGTGGTGCTAAGAGCCCTTCCCCAGGAGGGCAGCTTGGGACGCAGCTCCCTGGGAAGTGCCCTCCGGGAAGGCCCCAGACGCTGCCGCTGCCACCGCCACCGCTCCTGGTCTCTGGGCTGCCTCCTGGGACAGCGAGCAAGGCTGGTGTCCCGAGGGACCAGCTTTCCCATGATGCCAGCAGGTGCCAGGTTCTCTGAGCTCCCGATCCCTCTCCATCCTCCCGGGCCGGGGTGGGATCTGTGCAGGGGCGTCCCCAGCCTCCATGCACAGGGACCACGGGCCAGCTGGACCCCAGTAGTTCTCAGTGGGGTGTGGGCCTGATTCACCCCAGAGGCACCCGTGGTCCACTGCAGCCCCTCAAGTCCCTGACACGGCCTTCCACACACTACCCACCGCCTCCAGGCCAGTAACTGCCTGGGGCGCCGGCAGGGCCCCAACTCCCCACGCTGCCCCCATGGGCACACCAATGGGAGAGATGACCTCATGCTCCTCCTGGGGCACAGAGGGTGGGGTGGGGTCCCTGGACCCTCCAGTACTCCCTGTATATCTGTATAAATAAATGGGATTTTAATGGAGCCCCGCCCCCCCATGTTATCACTGTGTGATAGTCTGTCAGTCTCCTCTCCTGCCCTCCACTCTTCTTCCTCTATTTATTTCACTCTTTTCTGGGTTCCACCCTGTGCCCTCGGACCCCCTCCCTGGTATCTGTTTATAAGCCCCATCCCCTCTGCCCAGAACGCGTATGTGAAACTTGTCTCAATAAACCCTTTGGAGTAAGATGGGTGCTGTGCTGACTGTTGAGGGGCCATAGTACGGGGGAGGAGTCCCCATCTCCATCTGAGCAGGTGGAGCTTGGGGAGGGGAGATGATGGGTTGGGGTTTTGTGGTAGGGCAAGGGGGGCCGGGGAGGGACCCGGAGCTTGGGCGGGAGTGTGGGTGGAGGGACGGAAGTGGGGGCACAGGACCGCATCTCCCCAGGCCCCTCCTTTTACTCCTAGAGGCTTGGGGAGCAGCCTAGGGGCAGAGCCCTGACTGGCAGATGGGGGTGGGGAGCACTGGCAAGCAGGAGCCGCACCCTCTTGCCCATTCCTTGGGTCCTCCGCAGCCCCATGTAGCAGGGAGTGTCAGGCAAGTGGCAGCCAGATGGGGGCTCGGTTGGCCTGGCCCAAGGTCTCCCGCAGACCCTCCTGCTTGCCCCGAGGCCACCACCTGTCAGCGCAGTCCTGGGGCCAGTCCCGACTGCTCCTGTGTATTGTGGGGTACAATGCCAGTGCCCACCTGGGTTGGTGAGGGCTGTGCCCAGGCAGAATGGATAGGGGGAAGGATAGAGGGCTGAGCTGTGCTCGGGCCAGGTTAGCATTTCACAGTGTCCGCCACCTGCCTCTCTGGACAGAGGGCGCAGGCAGACATACGGCCCTCGGGTGGCTGTCAGGAGCCTGGCTATGGGCTCCTCCGACTCCCTCCATCCCTCTGGCCTCGTGCAGCTTCCTCAGGTGGTGGTTTGGGTTTTCTCTCCAGCCTCAGACTTCCTTCCCCAGCCCAGCCAGCCCCCGGATGTGGTGACAGAATCGCTACTGTACCAACCTCAGCTGCCCCCCCCATCAGCCCTTAACCAGGAAGGGGGGCTCCACACACACACACCAGCGCTGCCAATCAGAACCTCAGGCTAGGGGTGGTGGGTGGCCTGCACCTGCTGGAGTGCCTTGGATGGCGGCAGCCAGCTTGGAGGTTTCAGGACAAGTGTCTTGCCTCTGAGGGTGTGTCAGCTAAATGGTACCCACTCTTGTGTTACCAAACCTGAAGTGCCCCAGACTGGCGGGAAAAGTTGTTTTATGGCAAGCCTGGCACAGTGAGCCCTCAATGAGTCCTGGCTGGAGGACTGACAAAGATCATACCCATCAGCACACCGCAGTGCCTGAGGGGCTCACCCCTTATCACCCCCTTATTTCTGCCAGTGACAGTGTCAGTCAGCCACCATTCCCTGGATTTTTCGCTGTGTCTTCCCCTCTACTCCAACCTCATTTATCCCAAAGTCCTCTGGAGTCCGTGGTAGGACAACCCCAAATAATATGGAGAAACAGACTGGGGGGGGGGGGCAACAGACCCAGCTTGACAAAGACTGCACTCTCCCCCGAGAAGTCAGTTCCTGGCCTGTAGTCAACAGCCCTTCCAGCCCTCACGCCCTGGGTGCTTCGGCTCTTCACCCTCCCCTGCGCTGAGACAGGGTGGGGAGCTGATGGGAGGAAGCTACACCCCGTCCCCACCCTCCCAGCCCTGGCTTTCCCTGCGCGAGTCACCTAGCCTTGGTCCCCTTTATTCCAGCACCTTCCCCAGGCTCTGCCAGCCCACCTGGGGCCTCCGTTTCCCCACCTGTGGCATGGGCTAGGAGTGCGCCGCGGCACCGCCTGCCCCGGGCTAGGGGTGGCAGGAGGGGCGGGTGCGACGCTCCGCTAGGATCGAGGCCGCGCAGAGAGCCCGTGGGACCCGACACCTATTTCCCACTCGTCCCCTGGGTGGGCGCCGGATGCTGGCCGGACCAGAGGCCCGGGTCCTTAAAGGGCCCGGTCCCCGCGAGGAGGTGGGGGGCCGCCCGGCCCCGCTTTCCCCACTGGGAGAAACGTTACTTTCCTGACCTGGGTGCGAGACGGGAAGCCCTCGCTCGGCCACGCCCCCTCCCCCGCTCTCCCGGGACCCCCGGCGCCGCGCCCCGGCCCGCCCTCCCCTTCCGCCCCGGGCCCCTCGGAGGCCCCGCCCCTCGGACGTCACCGCGGCCGTCGCGGATTGGCGGGCGGCGCCGTCGCTCTCCACACTTCCTTCTGGTCGCCGCCGCGGACTTAAACTTTGGAGAGGAAAATAGAGCCACGGGCGCGGGACGCCGGGTAGCCCTCCCTCACCCCCACCTCCCGCCGCGGACAACGCCCCCTTCACCGCGGCTCCCGACCGAGCTTCTCTCCAACCTCAGAGACCCGTGAGATTGTTTCCTTAGCGCCCCGGCCCGCGGGATCCCTCAGCCCATCCCGGGCCGGTAGGATCCTGGGATCCCCTCGATCCCGACTCTGAGGCTTTGCTCTCCACCCCCAACGTGAACCCCTCGGGTCCCCTCCTTATTTAGATTCTCCTCTTAGAGCCAGTGGACCCCGCATCCCTTCGGCCCCATTTCTCTCCGAGGGCCTTCGAAACCTGGGCTCTCCTGAGCCCGGTGAACCCCGACCTACTAGAGTTTCTTCTCCGATTCCTTGGAATCTCTCAATCGCTGGGTCCCCAAAGTCATCTTTCTCCTTTCTGGTCGTCTGTCATCCTTTGACTCCCGGGCCATCTGACCCACGCTACTGCTTTTCTCGAATTTCCCAGGGCCCTCCATCCTCGAGCTCCCTGCTGATTTCTGCCATCCCGGATAACCACCCCAGCTCACAGACCTCTTGGATCCAGTGACCCGGGACTGCCTGGACTCCTCCAGCCCAATCCTGGGTGGGCGCCGGGTGGCCGGTCCCGGGCCTCCCCTCATGGCAACCACCCCCACCCATCCTGTGGGGCTCCCTGGCTCCCCAGGGCCAGGGTCTCCTCCACCGTCTGGCAGCTTCGAGCTGCAGTCGCCGCCACCGCTGCCTCAGGTCCCTGTCCCAGGCCCTGGCGTCTCCTTCCACATCCAGATCGGGCTGACCCGGGAGTTCGTGTTGTTGCCCACCGCCTCGGAGTTGGCCCATGTGAAGCAGCTGGCTTGCTCCATCGTGGACCAGAAGGTAAGGGCACTGGTTTGGCATGTGCCCTTTTGGGGAGAGACCTGCAGGAAGTAGGTGCTGGCAGAGGAGGCCTGGTGCTTGGCAGAGGAGGAGCAGGAGGAAGGGGAGGAGGAACGGAGAGCCACTAAACCTTGGGCATTGAGGGGTAGGGCTGGGACAGTCGCCCCCTCATTGTCCCCTCAGGCAACTGCTCTCTGAGGGATGCCTGGGAAGACATGAGGTGCCCCAAAGGCCTCCCCAAAATGCATGTCCCTGCATGTTTTTGTTGTCTGCAGCTGGCAGGGAGGAGCCTGCCAGGCACAGAAGACAGGGGGAAAGGGCAGGTGGGGGCAGCAGCTGTGCGGGGGACCCCCCTGTCCAGGCCTAGCCCCAACCTCCCACTGAGTAGAAACTAAAGCTGGGTTGGCTGTGGCAGTTAGGTGAGGGTGGGTGTCCCTGCCAGCTGCCAATGGCAGGTGAGGTCTCAGAGCCCGTCTCTGTCCTCCTCCAGGGCTGAGATGTGTGCGGAAGAGAATGCACCTCTTCAGTGCCCCCAGCAGTGGCTCTGGGGCCCTTTCTCATAATCTCTATCCCCCACTCCCAAGGTCCAAGGCTGGCCTGTTCAGATGGGCCTTTCCCAAGCTTAGCTCTGGGTCCTGGCAAGATGGAGCCAGGTGGGATGGAAAGTGGAAGACCTGTATCCTGGAGTGTGAACAGTCTGAACAGTGGGCTTCTCTGCTGTGGGAATTGTAGACCTGCAGAATCTTGGCATCTGAGGCTACTAAAGGGTTGTTGGTTTGGTCACTGCACTCCGGGGTGAAACGTTCAAACAGTGGGAACCCAGGTTGTGGGGATGCCAAAACATTGGAATGTTGGTTCTTGGGTTGTTGGGATCCCCAGTGCTGAGATAGTTGGAATGCGGATCACTGGGTGGTGAAAAGCCTGGAATGCTATGACATTCAAATATTAGAATTCCGACGTGTCAGAGCCCTAACCTGTAAACTATGAGACCACTGCTACTCTGGCATGTTAGCATCGCCAAATATCCAACTTCCAGAGTCTTCTGAGACTTCTGGAAATGAATTCTTCTGCCTTCAGAGAAACATCCAGGGCTGGGGCCAGTGCCCCGATTTTACAGATCAGGAAACTGAAGTGTAGAGAAATGCATAGGCATAGGTGGTTCCTGTCCCAGCAGGCTAGACCAGAAAGGCCCGTCTTTGTCCCTCTCCTAAGCCCCTCAAACTGGCCATGCCGACTCAGCTCCCAACTCACCCCAGATCCTAGCTCAGTGATCTCCTTGGGGTAACACGCTAGGGGGAGGGCAGACAGTCCCCTGGGTGAAATTCCTTCTGAGAGCCTGAGCCACCGGCCTGCCCCCTCGCACCTCACCGTTTTATTTTCTGCGTGCTGTCCAGGTGCAGCGAAGGCTTGGGGCCCCTCATCTTCCTTCCCTCTGTCCCACCTGGGCAGTTTCACTTTCTGTTTTGTCATGTTTCATTTCCTGCCACCACTACCACCCCTCCCAAGCTAGGGAATGGGACACCTGGGGCCTTTGGGCGGTGAGCACCCTCGCCATCTCCAGCTTTCTTGAACCACAGCCTTCCCAGCCCCCTGCCCCTCCCCTTTGGAGACACCCCCATCCTAAATCTTCCAGGGGGCCCCTCCCTGAAGCTAGGCCTGGAGCCAGGTAACTGAGACAATAGATCCAGGAAGGAAGCTGAGTTTGTGGGAGGGGGGGTGATAGGGAAAGGGGGTGCTCACTCAGTCACCCCACCCCACGATCTCCAGAAACCAGGGATCCATGCTCCTCTTCCTCCCACCCCCGCTGGCCATGCACCACAGCCACCACGCGAGGCCTGCACTCTGTCCCTGCACACCTGGGGCCCTGGCCCCCGGAGGCTCAGAGGAGGCAGGCAGGAAGCTAGGGGCTGCGGGGTCTGTTTCCGGGGGAAACAGCCAGCGGCGGCTGGCCAAGGAGGGTTCCAGACCGCTGGCTGCCGAAGCAGCTCTGAGCATTTCAGTCACCACCTCCTTCCCTTGCCCTGCCCCGCCCCACAGTTCCCCGAGTGTGGCTTCTACGGTCTTTATGACAAGATCTTACTCTTCAAACATGACCCCACGTCAGCTAACCTGCTGCAGCTGGTGCGCTCGGCGGGAGACATCCAGGAGGGCGACCTGGTGGAGGTGGTGCTTTCTGGTAAGAGGTCGCTAGTTCCTAGGGAAGGAGCCTGGAGCGGGGGCGGGCACCACAAGGAGGAGCGGGTGGGGAGGGCAACCCTGGACTTGCTGCTTTAAGTTCTGGACCCCTGGTTCTGGGCGGTGGCTGCCAGTGAGCGTCACCCCTGAAGCTTTTCTGAACCATCTAGCAGGACTGGATACATACATCGCATTGCTTGCACAAGCCTGAGCAAAAACCCTCCACAGCAACAGGCAGAAGCTCACAGACTAATGCTGAAACAGGAGCTGGGTGTCAGACTCCATCATTCATTTATGAAGCACAGAAATGGCAGGCAGTGCTCGCTGGTGCTAGACACCTGCAGAGTGGGTGGCTTTAGGAAAGCAGGCATCTGTGGGGGCTGATGGGGGGCTTTCTGGGGACTGGTGTAAACTTTGCTGTGCAGGGGAAATTGTCTGTCCCCTCTCCAGCTTCTTCTCCATGCTCAGCTCCACTTTCTTGGGTGGGACAGAGAACCTGAAACCTCCCCTTTCCCTGGGGACCACCCTGTTATAGAATCTAGTCCGCTCACTAGCCGTTCCTGTTTTATAGATGGGCAAGGTCTCAGCACCTTGAGAAGTCTGTAGCTCTTCTTCCTTCAGGAGAAGGGGCGTGAGAGGAGTCCACCTTCTCCAAACACTGTCCTTCGCGCTTGCTGTGCACAGCCATGCCTGCCCACCCTGTATCCACCTGGTTTCCATGCCTGGAGCATCTCCCCTCAAGCCCCCTCCTCCATCTTCTCATTGCTAGCTCTTTATTGTTATTTGGATCTCAGCTTAAATCCCACTTCCTCCATTGTCTGAAATTTCCTTATTTGTGTGTTCATGTTTCTTGTCTGTCCCCCCCCCCAAAGAAGGTCAGCGCTCTTAAGAGTGCGCTGTAAATTTTTCTCATCCATAGCTTTATCCTGTGTACATAAACAGCTCTTGGCACGCAGGACACAGAGTTCCCTTTCCACTGCCTAGTACTAAGAAAAGTAACTTCTTATTAGACTTACATTTGTGGGGAAATAAAAAAGAAAAATGAAACTTGCAAAAATGAAACTCTCAAAATACTAGCTAATGCTTATTGAGCACTTTCTATGAGCCAGGAACTGTTTTAATAGTGCTACAGAAGTTAATTCATTTAACCCTTTAAAAACACTCTTGTATGTCTGAGGAGATACACGCTTTCTCCTAGACACCTGCACCGCCGTCCCCTACCTCCGTCTAAGGCTTTGCCTTAATGTCACCTCCTCCAGGACGCCTTCCCTGACCACCTGTTTCCAGTTGTACCTCTTCTACCTTCACTGCTGAATTTTTCTCATTAGTACACATTGATTTCTAGCTTAGCATATATTTCATTACCTAGCTTTTTCAGAAAGGCACTGCTGAAAGCGTGAACTCTAAAGCCACACTGTGTGAGTGTGAGTTCAAATCTAAGTTCTGCCATTTGCTGGCTGTGTGACTGGGAAAGTTGCTTAACTTCGCCTCATCTAGAAAATGGGGACATAGGGCCCTCCCTGGTGGCCCAAGGGGTGACAACACAGCATTGGGAAGCTGTCTACAGTGACTGTAACACAAGTTCCATCCTGGCTGGGGAGCTGACCCAGGCAGCACAGCAGACCTCTCCTGTCTCCCGCCGCTCCCCTCAGCAGTGTACTTTAGTCGTCTGCCTGTTCTGCTCCCCACTATCTCTGGCGAATCCTGTCTCTTTCACACACACACTTTTGACCTGTCGCCAGTTCTTATATACATCCATAAATTAATCTTTTAAAAAGAAAGAAAGAAAATGGAGCTATAACAGAATGGGCCTCACAGAGATCTTGAAAGGCTAAATTCGCTAGTACTTTAAAGTCCATAGATTGGCGCCCAGCACAGAGTAACTGCTGGGTGATGCTAAATAAGAATGTTTATTTTTGTTATTTTGTTGGTGACCCTCACTGGGGGGTGGGGGGATGTTGGGTTTGTGAGCTCTGTTCTACATGGGGCCCTTAATGCCTAGATCATTGTTAGTAAACTGGTGGGGGGGCCCATTTTAAAGATGAGAAAACTGAGGTCCACAGGTGTTGGCTTTTTTCCCTCTCTTGATGCTCAGGCCTATCCCAGAACAGTTAGACCTGAGATGGGACCCAAGCTTCTATCTTTTTTCATGATTTTTCAATTTCAAATTGTGAGGTATGTATAACAAGCAGTTAAGCAGTTCCCATCTTAACGTCTTTAGTTTGACGGTTCCATCGTGTTAATTACTCTCCCATCCGACTGTTTCCATTCTGCAGAACTGAAACTTCTCCCTTTAAACGACTCCTTTTTCCCCATCCCCGATGCCCCATGGCATAGCTACACAGGTGTTTGGTCAGGTGGATCTGGGGTTTGAACGCAGGTAGAAGGTACTTTGCGAGAAAATGATCAAAGGAAAGTTCAAACCTCACAGCAGCGGAGGAGAGTGAAAAATCTGGGAAGGTGGTGCCAGGACACCTGTTGCAGGGCCCGCCCGACCCTCCTCCCTCCCCTACTGCCCGCAGCCTCAGCCACCTTTGAGGACTTCCAGATCCGCCCGCATGCCCTCACCGTGCACTCTTACCGAGCCCCGGCCTTCTGCGACCACTGCGGGGAGATGCTCTTCGGCCTTGTGCGCCAGGGCCTCAAGTGTGATGGTGAGCAGCCTCGAGTTGGAGGGGAAGGGGCGGGGCGGGGCTCAGGGAGCAGGGGTCAGGGGCGGGGCTAATGGGAGGAGCCTTGCGGTGAATGGGGCAGGGCCTGAGGTGGCCCCTCCCCCGAGTCCAGGAGGCGGGTCAAGGAGGAGGAGTACAGGGCAAGACCGTGGAGGGGAGGGGAGGGGGGCCTGGAATGTGGCGCCCCTCCCGGGAGATAGAGAGCCACCATAAGAGGTGGGCTGCCAGGAGAGAGGCTTCGTGAGGCTTTCGGAAAGAAGTTTCCAGAAGCTGGAGAAGTGTGCTTTAGTCCAGACAGCATGCCATCTTGCAGTCCCCAGAGATGTGTTGGAAATGGGGTTCAGGAGGGCCTGATTCAAGGATGTCAAAGAGAAAGAACAAAAGACACGAGGAGGGCAGACTTGCACCTGATAGGATACGACCGTGCTGGGTCCAACCGAAAACTCGCCAAATCCTCCCGCAGAGGTTAGGTCAGGTCACGTCGCCCCTTTGACATCTTGTCACTAAAAAACCTGGCCACTTAAAGACCTATGCTTTACTGGGCCCACTATTAATATTGCATGTTGTCTTACGTTGTCAGGGACTAGAGGAGGCAAAAAAACCAGAAGTATTTGGTATAGGCATATTTCTAACAAAAAGGAAGAGGTATTTTAACTGGTGCAGTTCTCGTTTCTGCCTCTGCCATCCGCCCGACCCATGTTCGTAGCTTATCTGGTCCACGGCTCCATCCCTAATCCCTTTCCCATCTTAACTCTTGGCCACATGCGGTGGCTCTGGGTCATTGGCAGTTCTGCCTGAATTGGAGTTTTGTAGTTTTCCGTCTGCCTAAGGATCTACCATAGTCCAGATCTGCAGAGACTGGGCTCAGCCCACCTGTGGTGGGTTGGGGTGGAGCTTTGGAGCCCTGGTGGCTGACAGGCCTCGTCTCTGACCGCCTGGCGCCCCCCTCAGGCTGCGGACTGAACTACCACAAGCGCTGTGCCTTCAGCATCCCCAACAACTGCAGCGGGGCTCGCAAGCGGCGCCTGTCGTCCACGTCTCTGGCCAGTGGCCATTCTGTACGCCTTGGCACCTCGGAGTCCCTCCCCTGCACGGCTGACGAGCTGGTGAGGAGCTGCAGCATGGGGAGGGTGGGGGGATGGAGTGTACTGAGACCCAGGCGGAGTCTGATACATTGCCTCCCCCTCACTGACTGCTAGAGCCGGAGCAGCACTGACCTCTTGCCTCGCCGGCCCCCGTCGTCCTCCTCCTCATCCTCTGTGTCATCCTACACCGGCCGTCCCATCGAGCTGGATAAGATGCTGCTCTCCAAGGTCAAGGTGCCACACACCTTCCTCATCCACAGCTACACACGACCCACTGTCTGCCAGGCTTGCAAAAAACTCCTCAAGGGTCTCTTCCGCCAGGGCCTGCAGTGCAAAGGTCAGAACCACCCCCAACTCCCACATGCATACTCAGAGACACAGGATCAGTCCTGGACTTGGGGGGCGGGGACACAAGAATCTCAGGATTCAGACCCTGAGGAGCACAGGGCCTCAGGAGGGGAATGTGTGAATCCTGGCCTTCTAGAACTTTTGCAGTTCTGGAATCCCAGCACCTCAGTCATTAGCACCTTGGAATCTTAGAACCTTAGAAATCTAGCAAGACACTTCACAGAGAATTCTGAAACTCTAGAACTTGAGGATTCTAGAATCAGAAAACCTTAGAAGCAGGATCCAAGAGTTCTGAATTGTAGGATTTAGCAAATGCAATCACAGAACTTCCGACTCATACACCTTCAAATTACCAAATCATAGATTCTTAGATTGGAACTCTAGAACAGCATTTGAAAATATGAGCAGCCTAGAAGCACCAGGTTCTCCTCTTAGAAGTCTAGAATCATAAAGTCTTGGAACATGGGGTTCGAGAGTCCTAGCACTGCTAAGATCCCAGAGCTCTGAGTGATCAAATTCAAGAATATCAGAATCTAGACCCACAAAAAATTGTGAAGCCATCCAATTCTAGAATTCATCAGAACAGTCAAAGTCTAGAATCTCAGCTATTTAGAACTAAAGAAGCCGTAAAAGAAAAAAACCAAAGGTAAAGAAATCCTGCCCTTGCACATTCTAGAATGTTAGATGGGACTCTAGAGTTTTAGCAGCCCAGGGTAAAGGATATTCAGACTCAAGACTTCTTAGTCACTTAATCTGTTGGCTCACTGCTGGGATGACATCAGAAGGGTCAACTTCCTGCCCCAAATACTAAGTGCAGACTCTTGAGCTTGGGAGTTAGCATGCAACCCTCACACGTGACCACTCTCGCCCTCCCACCTGTTTCCTGGTCCCCTGTCCCCTACCAGACTGCAAGTTTAACTGTCACAAACGCTGCGCCACCCGCGTCCCGAATGACTGTCTGGGGGAGGCACTCATCAACGGAGGTAAGAGGCTGGAGGCGGAGCAGGAAAGGGAGGGACTCAGGGGCGGCCCCTCTGATGCCCCGCCCCGTCCTCCAGATGTGCCCATGGAGGAGGCCACTGATTTCAGCGAGGCTGACAAGAGCGCCCTCATGGATGAATCTGACGACTCTGGTGTCATCCCCGGCTCCCACTCGGAAAATGCCTTCCACGCCGGCGAGGAAGAGGAAGGCGAGGGAGGCAAGGCCCAGAGGTACCCAGTACCCCTCTCCCCCAGGGAAGCCCCTCACTTCTTCCATGACACCACCTGACTCTTGTAAGTTTCCCAGGTTTCCCAGGTGAGACTTTTGAAACATCCAAACCTTACTTTTTTCTCAGTTTACATTTTGAAAAAAGTCTTCACCTGGAGGATGCCACTAGGATCAGTTTCTTGTGGGTCCTTCCAGAAAGTCTGTATTGCAAAGTGACAGGACAAAGACTAAGAACGTGGACTCTGGGGGGAGGCTGTTGAATGGCCTTAGGCAAGAGAGTCGCCTCTCTGGGCCTCAGTTTCTCATCAGTAAAATGGGAATAAAATTGCTGCCATACAGAGTTGTCATGGGATGAAATGAATGAATACAAATTAAGTACCTAAAGGTGTACCTGGCATGCTGTTTCTGTGTTGCTGTTTATCGTTAAGGTCCTTGTTTACATGTATGTGTCGCTTATGTAGTGCTCTTATCACAGAACATGAACTTTTTTTAAAAGAAAAGGAAAATATCCACTTCCTTTAACCATTTTGGAAAAGATCCCCAAGGAACTTCTGTGCTCTGGCATGAGAGCTCTGAGAGATAATAACTTGTACTTAATTATACATTTTTAAGTTTTATATGGAATTTGTATTTTCAGCTGCATGAGAATGTGACCGTAAGTGCTTCAGGGCAAAGACATTTGTCTTTCCGAGAGCCTGGGTAGTTCCTGTCTTCCGGCCTGCGTGGGGTGGCCTGTCAGCATAGGGCAGGGTGGTGCAGGGCTCACCAGCACCGGGCCTGGCCCCACCCAGCTCCACATGTCCGTGCCTCGGTTTGCTCCTGGGGTGGCGACAGCACCCCCTCATGGAGCACTGTGCCAGTCTCTTCAGATGACACGCGTAAAGTCTCCACCAGCTTCGAAAAGTGGGGAGAGAGAAAGACGGTCTCTTTGGGGGTGTGGAAGAGAATATTTGAATTTCCATTTCTCCTTGTTTCTAATCATATCCTTTAAGTGTTTTCCTTTTTGAATATTTTTAGAACTATGTGAACAGTATTATCACTATTACTCACTGTGAGTGCAGTAATAATACATGGATAAATAAGTGTGTTTATACAGAGAAACGTACAGGAATACACTGCACTATAGTGAATATATGATTTATTTTAAAAATCACAGGCCACAGAGCCCATAAATTTTGCTTTTGTTCTTGAACAAAATCCTTCCCATCAGCCTTGTTATTCCCGTTTCTAGGTTATAAATGAAGTTTGGAGGCTTCTGTTGATAATTAGTAAGGGAAGCAGCTAAAACTTCACTTCAGAGGACCAAGGCAGCATAAACAGGGGAAGGGAGGACACCCTTGCACTCCTTTCCTGTCTTAGGGGATCCTTAATGGGCACTTACTAGGAGCTAGATCCCAAGCACACAGCTGTGAACAAAACCAGAGAGCTGCCCTCACAGAACTGACAGCTGGGAGACAGCATCTGGCGATGAAAAACTAGGTAGTCAGGATGGATAGCAAATGGGGATATGCTGGGCCTCCCCGGTGGCCTAGGGGTTAAGTCTCAGCACTATCATCGCTACAGCCTGAGTTCGATCCCCAGCCAGGGAGTGACCCACAGGGCGCAGCAGATTCTCCTGTCTCCCCGCTGCTCCCCTCAGCAGTGTGCTTCAGTTGATTTGCCTGTTCTGCTCCCCACTCTGAGAAGAGGATTCTGGTGAATCCTCTCATCTCCCGCACCTGGCCTACACCCCAGCTCTTCTACATACAAGAAAAAGATTAAAGAGGGGGGGAACACGCATGTTAGGGTCATTACAGGAGGTCTGTGAAAAGGTGCCATGTGGTGCAATGGGGGAGAGTGAGGGAAGGGCCTGCCAAGCAGGAGGAACAGCAGGGCCAGAGGGCCTGAGGTAGGACCAACCATGTCCGAAACAGCAAGAAGTCATGTGGCTGGAGCAGAAAGGGCGAGAAGTGGGTGGGCGAGGCCTGAGTGTGGCTTTGCAGGTCACAGTGTCTCAAAGACTTTCATTGGTGTCTCCCAACCGGAGCTGTCTGCAACCCAGATGCCCTTTCTCCCAGGTCATTCCTGAGAGTGTTTAGGTTATCAGAGTGGGAAGTGTTTGGAATGGCAGCTAGGGAAACTGAATCTCCCTAGGTCATGCAAGTTGTGGTCTAGTGCAGAGTAAGGAGAGTGTGGGTTCTGAAGTTACTTGTTTTTCAAGCTCTCCTCTCCTCATTGTGTTATGAGGAGAGGGAAATGCTGCACAGAGAGGTTGAGTGACTGACCTTAGGTCACACAGTGGCTCGACAGTCATTAGGCTCAACACCAGTTAACACTTATGGGAGGCCCACTGTGTGCTAAACTCCAAAGATTTTCACTTCTTACAGCAGCCCCTCTGGGTGGAGAAACTGAGGCACTAAGGGTGATCTGCCAGGCAGTCTCTTCACGGGGCCTTCTCAAGAGTACGCCTCCTCATTGTGGAGAATCTAGAAACCAGGGGAGAAAACCTATGGCCAACTCCCCTGCTGCCCAGAGAATTTGTGGTTATGTCTGCGTATAACCTCTCTCTCCTTTCTCCCCCACCCCTCAGCTCCCTGGGGTATATCCCCCTGATGAGGGTGGTGCAGTCGGTGCGTCACACCACCCGGAAATCCAGCACCACATTGCGCGAGGGTTGGGTGGTCCATTACAGCAACAAGGACACGCTGGTGAGCGGAGCGCCTGGGCGGGGCTGGGCGGGGCTAGCGTTAGAGGCGGGGCTAGAGGCAGGGCGTGATTGCGTGGGCGGGGTCTGCTGGAGGCTGAGCTAGAATTGAGAGCAATAGATATGATGCTGAGACGACCCGGCAGGACTAAAGGCTAGGTCAGGGGCCGGACAAGTTAATGTTAGGAGCAAGGGTGAGAAGTGGGGGTCCTAGAGGGTAAATTCCGGTGGTGCCGGGCCAGGCTGGAAGCTTAATTAGAGCTGATAAATTGGTAAGGGGGCCCGGACATAGGAAGAGTCAGCTGGGTGAGGTTGGGATGAAGGGCAGGGCTTGTAGTGCTGGTGCCAAACCCTGGGCAAGCAAGGAGTAGGCTGGGCAGGGTTGGGAGCTCTAGAGGGACCAGGCTGGAGGCGAATCTGAAGTTAGGGAGACAGCTATGGGGTTGGACATAATGGGGTGGAACCAGAGCTAAAGAGGGCAGGGCAGCGTGTTTCAATAAATCCTCCTGCCCTGCTCCCCACTCTGTCTCTGGTGAATCCTCACACCCCCCACATCTCTGGCCTACACCCCAGTTCTTTTACGCAAAAATGAATAAATAAAAAGCATTTTTAAAAAAGGGCAGGGCAGGATTAATTTGAGAAGGAAACAAGTGGGGGGGCTGGAATTGGCTCTGGGCCAGGTGAGCATGAAGGGGCGTGGTGGGAAGAGTGGGCGTGGCCGGGGGCGGGGCTAGACTGGGCGGGCTTGACTGGAGCCCAGGCTGGATGGCCGCTTGGCTCACGCTCTCAAAAACTTCTGCCAACAGAGGAAGCGGCACTATTGGCGCCTGGACTGCAAGTGCATCACACTCTTCCAGAACAACACAACCAACAGATACTATAAGGTGGCCCTTCCCGTTCCCAGCAGCCCCCGGCCTTTCTGTCTTTGCCTACCACCTTCTCCTCTCTGACCCAGGTTAGGCAGATGTTGTCTCCAGATACTGACCCCCTCCCGGTGCTTTCCAGCTGGGGGACCTCACCTGTCTGGGCTCCAGTAAAGGGCCTCCTAGGAGAGTTGTTACCTCAGCTGTTGCTGGAACTCAGAGAACCCAGAAGCCCGCGGCGTAAGGCCCACTTGTCCAATGCCCAGTACTGATAAATCCCTCACCATTATTACTTTGCGATTCATCTGTGGATTCATCACCAGCCCCTCTCCCGTGGGGTGTGGCAGCAGGCCCCTCACTGGGTCCCTGCTCTGCCCTTGTCCCCAGGCGGGCAGAGGCGTGGCTTCAAGAATCCTCCACTAGCTCCCTCTGCCTTTAGAATAAAACCCTGAAGCTTCGCTTTTTCTTTCCACTTCTGTGGCTGGTTCCTTCTGTCTAAAATGGTCCCCAAGACCACCGGGTCTTTGGCTCCTGGTTTTACTGGCTCTACAAGTCTGGCTTTGTTTTATGCTTTCATTCTTTGTGCCCTCCCTCCCTCCTTTTTCTTTTCTCAGCATTCTTCAGCATTTTCTCTGTTCCTACCCTTCACCCCTCTGCCTCTGTCCCACTCAAGCCTTTCCCACTCAGCCTTCTTCCTGGTCTCCTGTGAGTCCCAGCCTCTGCCATCCACCCTCCACACACAGACAGGGAGAGCTGTCCTCCCTTACTCAGAACCTTTCTGTAACTCCCCAGGGCTCTGGAGCACAGCCCAGCCTCCTCCCTGTGGCCCATGAGGCTATGAGCTCCCTGCCCTACTCCCATTTCCTGCATTTAGTTATCAGATGTAGCAGGCCTACTGTGTGCCAAGCTCCATCTGTGGCCTTTTCTACCTCAGAGCCTTTGCACTTGCTCTTTCCTCAATTTCTTTGCCACTGACTTCTTACCTTTTGGTAATGTCCTGACCCTTCTAACAAACCAGGCTCTTTCCCACTGACACTATTCTGTGTGCCCTTCTGAATGAGGAGGGAATCCCACGATCTGCCTGGTATCCTCACCTGCATGGCTCCCTGTCCTTTCAGGAGATTCCACTGTCAGAAATCCTTGCTGTGGAAACTGCCCAGAACTTCAGCCTTGTGCCACCAGGCACCAACCCACATTGCTTCGAGATCGTCACTGCCAATGCCACCTACTTTGTGGGCGAGACACCTGGCGGGGCCCCAGGGGGGCCAAGTGGGCAGGGGGCTGAGGCCGCCCGGGGCTGGGAGACAGCCATCCGCCAGGCCCTGATGCCCGTCATCCTGCAAGATGCACCCAGCGCTCCAGGCCACACACCCCACAGTAAGTCGCCCATCCCTGGTCCCTGAGTGGATGGGCCCCAGAGGGCTTGCACAGGGTAGGAAAGAGTCGGGGGAAGGCAGAGGATAGCATAGACTCAGCAGGCCTGGTCCAGATCTCTGTTAAGCTTGGATTTGCTGTGTGGCCTTGAATCTTGTCCCGCTTGTGATGGCTTCTCCAAGTTATGTTTAGGTTTTTTATTCACTGTTTGCTGAGTGCCTCCTCTTGCCCAGCCCTCCTGTTGCCTAGGCACAGCTGTGGCCAGGGCAGCCCAGGCTCTGCCCTCACGGGGCTCATGCCTGTCTCGACAGTAACCAGAGGACTTGGGGAGCCCAAAGGAGGTGGGTATCCAGGAGGGCTTCTGGTGGAAGCAACATCTGAACAGAGACCTGGAAGCTCAAGGTGGCGTGAGAGGGGGAAGCATTTCAGGCAAAGGCTAAAGGTGTTCAGAGCCCCAGAGTCCCGCCTCCTGGAGCTCATAGTCCAGAGTGAGTGACAGACATTGACCAGCTTGTCCTATATGACTAGCAGGTGTCATATAGAACATCTGCTGGAGTAGTCTGCCGTGGCCCCAGGAGTGACATTTGAGCTGAGACAGAGGGATGAGAGGACTGACCTGCGGCCAGACTGAGGGAAAGAGCATTCCTGGCAGAGGGACTAGCCCCTGCAAAGACCCAGAGGTGGGGAAGAACTGGTGCTGGAAGCCCAGAAAAGACGTCAGTGTGTCAGGAATACAGAGCAGGGTTTGGGTGGAAACCAGGAAGTAGGTGAAGGCCCAGACTCTGCCTGTTAGGCCACGTGAGCATCCTAGTTTTGTCCTGAGGGCACTGGGGAGCCATGGCAGCATTTTGAGAGAGGGTGGGGCAGGGTCAGCCTTGTGCTTCAGCCTGATGTCTCTCTGGGGGAGATCAGAACAGGGGATCAGGATACCAGGGAGAACACCGAAGAGCAGACTGGAGGAGAGAAGGGGAGGGAGAGGCGGGGAGATATCCAGATGGCTTAGGAAATGTCTTTCTCCGGCTGGGCTGGCAGGAAGGCAAGTTCAAGGGAAAACACTGGAGGCAGCTCGGACAGTTTTGCCCTCTGTAAAACGGGCTCAGCACCTCTTGGTGCTGAGGTCACTGGGTGAGGGGCTCAGAAGAGTCCTTCATAGCCTGACTTCTTGAAGCCCCTCAACTCATCTCAGCTCCTCCTCCATCGGCCCCCTTAGAAGTGCCTTTTATTACTCCCATTCTCCAGACGAGGAGACTGAGGCTTATGGCGGACAAATCGCTCGTGGCCTGAAGTTGCGTGATGGAGCTACCCAGTTGACCCGGGAAGTCCGGCCCCAGAGCTACCTCTGGTGTTAGGTGTGACAACGGTGCTGACCCGGGGGTCCCTCACCTCTCTCTTCCCTCTCCCTAGGACAAGCTTCTCTGAGTATCTCCGTATCTAACAGCCAAATCCAAGAGAATGTGGTGAGACCCCCGGTGTACCCCAAGACTGTCCTCCCCCTCCCAGCAGGGTCTTAGCTGCCTTGACCCCTGAGCTTTCCCTGTTCGCACCCTGCAGGACATTGCCACGGTCTACCAGATCTTCCCAGATGAGGTGCTGGGCTCGGGACAGTTTGGAGTGGTCTATGGCGGTAAGGACGCTTCAGGGCTGACCCAGAGGCACCCTGGGGGTTTCCGGGCGCCAGGCTACCTCCTCGGCTTGGCCCACACTCACTTCCCATGCAGGCTTAGAACCTAGATCTGGGAGAAGAATCCTGGAAACCTAGGTGGCTGCGGGCTCTCCTTGTCTCCCTGAGAAAAGCCCATGGCAAAATGGACTTTTTAAATAAGGGAAGGTAAATCTACGCTCTGATTGGCCACAGAGCAGAGCCTAGTTTCCGACCGGTTAGCAGTCTGGTCTCCTGTGTTAGAGGCCTCTCCTTGCAGCCTTGTCTTTTATTTCTTGGAAGATTTATTTATTTATGCATACCACATACTGTGGTACAGGCCAGAGATGTGGGGTGTGAGAGGATTCACCAGAGACACAGTGGGGAGCAGAATAGGCAGATCAAGTGGTATCCACCGCTGAGGGGAGCAGTGGGGAGACAGGAAAGGTCTGCTGTGCCCTGTGGGTCACTCCCTGGCCAGGGCTTGAACTGCTGCTGGAACTGCTGCTGAAACAGCTTGCAGAGGGCTTCACAGCATGCGCTTTAACCTGATGCACCAGGGAGGGGCCTGGAGCCCTGTGTTTTACCTTTATTCACTCCGCCTCTATGCTCAGAGTGCACCCCACTCTCACCCCAGCTACTCACCTCTCTCCTGGGATCCACTAGAGCCGGCCACCTTGGTGGCCTTCTATCCACCTTTGTCCAGCTCTGGTGCTCCATTCACCCTCCCCTCCCTCCCCCGTGCCCCAGGAAAGCACCGAAAGACTGGCCGGGACGTGGCGGTGAAGGTCATCGACAAACTGCGTTTCCCCACCAAGCAGGAGAGCCAGCTCCGGAATGAAGTGGCCATTCTGCAGGTGACACCCCAGAATCTGTGGCTAGCCCCGCCCCCTGCCCCTCGTCCCCCCAGGAAGGCCTTCCTTCTCCACATTGCCCACTCGGGCCAACTTTTCAGTCTTCCTGGAGGAGGAAATATGTTGAGAAGGAGCAGAGAAGGCATGAGACTGAGGGGTCCTGGGTAGGAGAGAGTAAGTTTGGCCAGGCCACGGCTGGGGCAGGCAGAGGAAGGCGGGATTTAAAAGCTACAGATGTGCCAAGCTGCTTCCATTTCTCCCCACCCCCTCCCCCCAGCCCTGGTCTTCCCACCCTCACCCTCTGGCCCTCTGGCCCTGTGGGGGCCACCCAAAGAGGCAGCTGCCGCCTGGCCTGCTGGGGGGCGCCCTCCTTGTTGCTCGTCCTTCCCGCGCCTAGCCCTCCGGGGGCCCACATTTATGGGTCACCTGGGCCCTGACCCCCCCACCCCATTCCAGAGTCTGCGGCACCCCGGGATTGTGAACCTGGAGTGCATGTTCGAGACGCCCGAGAAGGTGTTTGTGGTGATGGAGAAGCTGCACGGGGACATGCTGGAGATGATTCTCTCGAGCGAGAAGGGCCGGCTGCCCGAGCGCCTCACCAAGTTCCTCATCACCCAGGTGCGCTCACCTGCCGCCTCCTGCCCCAGCAGGCGTCCTCGAGAGGGGCCCCTGTGCCAGGCTGGGCAGGTGCGGGGTGGGGGCCTGGTAGTGGGTAGCAGGTGCATGCACGGTGGCGTGATAATACCAGGGACAGACTCAGGTCAGGGTTACGCAGCGTTGTTGGGTTACTTCAAAAAAGGAAAAACAATAGTGTGATGATAATAATTTGAAAAATCATAACAATGATCAAGAAACATAGAGGCATAACAAGATAAAAGTAATTGAATGAATAGAAAGCTGACAAGCTGGTACAGTAATAGGTCCTAGTCATGGAAAAATAACGTCTGTCTTGTATTTTAGGCGATATCAGTCGGCTCTCTGGGTCTGCCTTTGCTCGTAGAAAAAGGGGGTCAGACAACTGAGATGGAAAAAGGCACAAAATGATGTAAAAATAAACTATTACATTAGTTTTTAAAAAAAGAAATCGATCAAAAGAAAAAGAAAAAGGGGGTCAGGGCCTTTTGTGGGAGCCCGTTCATTCATTGGTTCGTTTATCCACTCACTTGTTCAACAAACACTCCCCGAGCCCTGCTCAGTGCCCGGCTCGGTGCTGAGCAGTGAGACACGGCGTGACAGAGAGCCCGAGCCCTGGCCGGGGCAGGAGACACTAGGGTACCCGTGATGAATGCTGCGGTCACTGACCTGTCCGAGCACTGACTGTGTGCCACGCACCGTTCCAGCTCACTTAACCCTGGCGGCAGCCTCTGGTAGAGCTCTTACCCTCCCACTTCCCAGCTGAAAAGACTGAGGCCCCCAGACAGGAAGTGCCTTGCTCCTGAGATTAGCACGCTCCCTAACCAGTAGTGCTGCTCAAGGCTGTTTCATTTCTGCATGTAGTTAGCAGAGCTGCCTCTTTCTCTGAATTGTATCCCATGAGATACAATTAGCACCAAATTCCCCAGTCTTGCTCAGCCTGGAGGATGTTTGCACTTTCTAATCTTAGGAACAATATTCTGTGAATGAGTATTTGTCTACAAACATCCTTGGGGGGTTTGGTGGGAGCGTTCCCAAGGAACACATTTCAAATAGTGACTCCCTAGTCCAGAGATGTCACCCAGTTATTCTTTAAAATCCCTTTCAGTTTTTGCTCTCACCATCAGAGTTTAAGGATGCTTTTTTTAAAAAAAAGATTTATTTATGCACACAAGAACTGGGGTACAGGCCAGAGGTGCAGGGGGTGAGAGGACTCTCCAGAGACAGAGTGGGGAGCAGAACAGGCGGATCTACTGAAATGCACTGCTGAGGGGAGCATTGGGGAGACAGGAGGGGTCTGCTGCGCCGTGTGGGTCACTCCCTGGCCGGGGACTGATCTCGTGCTGCAGTGGCTGTGGAGCGCTTCATAGTGCTGCACTTTAACCTGTTTTGCCACCAGGGAGGGCCCTAAGGATGCCTTTTTTTCTCACTCTTTACTAACACTGGCTAAAATTATCACCAATCTTGCAGGTGGAAAGATCCTTCATGTGTCTTTATTTGGCAGATTATTGGGGAAGGCGAGCACATTATCCTGTGTTTATTGGTCTGTGTTTTATGTATCCCTTACCCATTTTTGATTTGATTATTATCGAATTGTTAAAAAGCTTTTTGGATCTGAGACACACTGGATCCTTCTTACCTGTGTCCGGTTCTTTTATCCTGGAATCTGTTTTCCACTTCACTTCACTGGTGACTTTCATTTGCCACAGAAAACGTACCCTTCACGTGTTAAATAAACCCTCTTGTGACGCCGGCCTGACGGACCCCAGAAGGCCGGCCCATCTGGCTGAGCCTCTCCCTGTGTGGGACGGGCCCTCTGTTGGCCACAGGCCCCCTTGCACTATGCTTCCTTCATCCAGGCGCAACACTCTTGCTGTCCCAAGCTGTGCACCTTTGTCAGGGGCTGGTTTGCAGGGTTGGGGACAGAGCCCCCCAAGGCAGGCTCATGAAAATCTCAGACGGGGAGAGGGAGCCAACGACCTGCCTGCGGCATGGGGGTGTGTCTCTTTCTGTTGTTCATCTCTTCCTCTCTCGTGTGTGTGCTTCCCTCCTTTTCTCTTTCTCTCTCTCTCTGCAGATTTCTGCTCTCTGGCTCTTGCCTGTCCCACCCCACATCCTGCACTAAGCTCTTTCACCCCATGAACCACTCTTTGAGGTAGGTATGACCAGAATCCCATTTTCCATAATGTGAAGAAACAGGGGTGGAGGGAGGTACCTGGTCTCCTTCAAGGTCACACTGCCAGGTGTAGCCGTCTGGGCAGGACGCAGACGTGGGTCAGTCTAGCTGCCGATTTGCCTTTGTTCGCCTCGTAACACAGGGTGGGAGACGAGGCGGTGAGCGAACAGGAAACCTGGAGAAAATGGACATGTGCAGAATCTTGGTCTCCCTGTCTGTAGAATGAGAAAGCTGTCTTCAAATGGCATTTTCCTTTGTACACTGGTTTATTTTTTAATCAGTTATTTGTCATTATTTTACACTGTTGTTTATTTCTTTTACCACAATATAAGATTTTTCCCCTGAGATGTGGTCACCTGAGTTTTCCCAGCATCAAAGCACCCTTAGTCCTCCATGGCATTTTCTTACTCAAAAGCCATCCAGTGAAAACAGTAGGAAATACAAACTCTTCCTTCCCATATAGAATATGCAACAGATACAGTAGAAGTTTTACTTAAAACTCACACCAATGTATGTATATAAGAAGAAGAAATGGGGGGAAACAGGAAACAAACAAAAAACCATAGGGGAAAAAAAGCAAATAGCTGGCCTTTGCTCTATAACCTGTCACAAGCAGGTTAAATATATCGGCTCACTTAATGCACCTGACAGTGACCTGTGAGGGTGGGTCGTGCTTTTATGACTCCATTCCACAGATGAGAAATCTGAGCTCTAGAGGTAAAATGTTTTCTCCAAGGTCACAAGGTAGTGAGTTAATAGTCAGGTTTTCCATGTAGGGAAGTCCCCCTTCTCCCCTTAAGGAAAGAGCAGCTCCTGAAATAATGTTGTTTTGTTCAATTCTCTTTTGTTATAACAATGATGACACCAAAAAAATCCTAGTTGTCATTGAATGAAACAACCTCATTCAAGGGCCTGCTTTTGTTGTATGTTGTTTCCCTTCAAGTCTCAGGTTCCCAAAACCTACAATAGCAGCATTTAGTAGGAACTTGATGTGTGTGTGGGTGTGTATATGTATATGTATGTGTGTGTATGTGTAAGCACACATATTAATTGTCACATCGGTATTGTTTGTATTGCTTCATATAATGGTTTTTAAAAAAGACTTATTTCACTTATTTCTGCACACAAGAACTGGGGTCTAGGCAGAGGTGCAGTGAGGTAAGAGGATTCACCAGAGATAGAGTGGGGAACAGAATAGCAGATCTACAGAAACACACTGCTGAGGGGAGCAGCGGGCAGCTCAGCCATTCTAGAATCATGTATTCCGCCCCTGTCTCAAGCATAAATGTTTCTCTAGTTCTAAGGTTTGGAGGTTCTTGGTACTCCAGTGCCTCCTTGCCTCCAGAGTCATCTTTAGGGGTGCAGATGGCGATTTGGATGGAGTTTGCAGGGCTGGGTAGACACCTTTTTTTTTTTTTTAAGATTAAAAAAATTATTTATACATACAAGAACTGGGGTACAGACCAGTGGTGCAGGGGCAGTGAGAGGACTCACCATAGACAGTGGAGAGCAGAACAAGTAGATGTGTTGGGGGGATCAGTTGGAGACAGGGAGAGGTCTGTTGCGCCCTGTGGGTCAGCTCCCTGGCCGGGGATCGAACTCACACTGCAGTGGCTGCAGGCAGCTTCATAGTGCTGCACATTCACCTGTTGCACCACCAAGGAGGGCCCCACCTTTCTGTCTTTTTTACTGCCTCCATCTCATCCATTCAGATTCTGGTGGCTTTGAGACACCTTCACTTCAAGAACATTGTCCACTGTGACTTGAAACCAGAAAACGTATTGCTGGCTTCAGCCGACCCGTTTCCTCAGGTGAGTTGTGACCCTTCCTGGTTTGGGGAAAGCCCAGCCAACATTGGTGCGAGACTGGATTAATCAAGATATATGAGTGCACAGAGCGCCAAAGGACAAAGGCTTAAATGAGACAGAGGCATCTCACTCACATAGAGTCCAGCGTGAACAGAAAATGCAGCTCCATAGTGTTGGATTTTATGGTCTGTGTTCCATGTTCCAGGAAAAGAAATAGGACAGGAGGAGGGAGAGAAATGGGGGTACAGGAAATGGATATCTCTTGCTTTCCTTAAGACAGTTCTTCACGCACCTATCACTTCTAGCGCCCCATTTACCAGCACCTGAGCAATGGGTGTGGCCAATGGGCGTGGCTTGCGCCCACGGCCACAAGGGAGGCTGGGAAGTATAGTCTTTATTTTGGTGGCCGCTTGGCCCATTAAATTCAGGATTTTTATTAAAGGGAAGAGAATCCCAGAAAAAATGCAGGAGGGGGAACTGTTACTTTCTTCCTTGGGTCTGTTAGGAAAACTGCTGTGGTGGACCTCCGCCAGGACTACAAGGGCCCTTTCAGAAGCAGAGGCAGACGGGTAGGGGTGAGGAGGATGATTCCAGCTGCGTGTCTTGAGGTCCTACTATGGTTAAGAGCCTTTAGCTGCAGCATGTCGCTTAGCTCACTGCCCCCCACATATTCGGGAAGCTTCACTTCATTAGCTATGTTTTAGAATCATTAGCTCATTATATTTTGAAAGCTAGAGGTTCATTTCGTCAACTAAAAATTATTGAGTGCCTGCCATGTGCTCACCCTTTTGGGGGGTCTTTGTGTCCAAGGAACACCCCTCTGTGGCAGCAGTTTCCAGTCAGGGGGCATTTTGGCCTCCTGACAATGTTGGACATATTTTTCATAGTCATAATTATTTGGGGAAAAGGGGTGCTGCTGACATTTGGGGATGCTGCTAAGTGCCCCACAGTGCCCAGGGCAGCCTTATGACAGAAGATCTCTTGCCCTGAACGTCTCTGGTGCTGTGCTTGGGAAACCTGTGCTGTCCACTAGACATGTAATATGAGCCCTGTCTATAATTTGTACATCTTCCAGTAGCCACATTAAAGAAGGTAAAAAGAAGCAGGTAAACTTATGTTAAAGGCATACTTTACCCCAGTTGAGTTCAGTAGTGTCATTTCAATATGTAAGCAACATAAAAATGAAATTAAAAATTAAAGACCTCATACCAGGTCTTCAAATCTGGTGTATATTTTACACTTACTTGTATCTTTGTTCAGATGTTATTTTTATCAGAAATACTTGATTTTGTATTTAAAGTTCGCAAGAGTAACAGCTGGGAAAGTAGATTGACCCAGGTTATTCCGTATTTTAAAGGTTTCCCAACACTGGATTGAGTGAGGACTAGTTTTAAAATACAAGTAAAATTAAACAAAATTTAAAAATCACTCCCTAGCTATATTTTTCAGTTGTACTGGCCACATGTCAAGTAATGAGTAGCTACACATGGCCAGTGGCCATTCATACCCCACAGGGAAGAACCTACAGGAAAGAACAGATGCCAGGCAAGGTGTCACCAGAAATGGCACTGAATCTATAATAGGTTCTAGAAAGTGGTTGCGTGAGCTCCTGTAACCAGAAGTTGCATAGTCCAGTTGGGAGATCAGAGGAAACCTCTCTGAAGGAAGAATAGGAGTTAAGTTTGTGCAGACACAAACATTCCATGCAGACAGGACACCCTATCCAAAGGCCCTGTGGTGGGAAGACCAGCTTTGTAGGTATATGAGTGTACTATACAGCTCACCCACAATGCATTGCTTTTTGTGTATCCACAGAGTTGTGCAGCCATCACAATCAATTTTAGATTATTTTCACCATCCCCTAAAGACACCCCAAACCCTCTAGTGATCCTTCTCCTATCCCACAATCCCACCCACACCCAACACTAATCTACTTTCTGTCTATGTATTCGCCATTCTGGACATTTCATATAATGGAAAATACCAGATCTTTCCCTGGGTTGACATCTTAAGGGTTCATCTTTGTTGTAGCATGTATGGGCACTTCATGTCTTTTTATGCCAAATAAACTTTTCTTGTGAAATCTGTGGATTTTAGAAAAGGCAATGTTCTGTCAGGCCTATAGGAAAGGAAAAGATTCTTAGGAAAAGGTTGGTTGTTACATTAAGATTTGAGATTCAGGTTGGGGGTTGCCAGGGTGGTAGGGTGTTTCAAAAGCAACAGGGGTTGCCTTCCAGGAACCAGAGAAGGGTTTTGAGCAGGAAAGTGAACTAGAGGAACAGAGCCGATGCTGCTGTGAGCTGGTAGGCAGTCCACGGACCTTGACCCTGGCCTTGCTGGCTGCAAAGCTGTCCATGAGTCTAGATGTGTACATGTATAGTTCTTTCATCTATGAGTAACCATTCTGAATAGTCATGGGCGTGTGAAAGGGCTTAGCTACAGAACATGTTCATTACAGCATTGTTAATAATATGTGTGTGTAAAGGAACAACCTAAACTGTGGATTCAATAAATATATTATAGTTTGGAACAATCATTCACTAGAATATTATGCAGTCTTCAAAAGGGATTGTTTTAAAAGGCAATTAATTACATGTCTCTATGTTATTATGTGGTTCTAAAGGTATCATATTATGTACTATGTATGTTTCTAGCTATATTTGTGTGACCACTGGCCACATAGATCTAGATATATCTGCATATATTCAAGTATTAACTTACTTCTAGGCTTATGATAACTCATCCTGTTTATGTTGTTTGTATCTCTTCTGCATTTTTTGCAGTGATTGTTTTATGTGCAATTTTATGTGCAGTTTCAAAAGACAGAATATGTATTTGGGCAAATGCCTTAAAGCTGAAAGCACCCTTTTGGCCACCATGGATTTAGAGTAAGAAAAACAAAAATCCGAAGCGGATTACCGAGACTTAAGATAGTCACACAATTCATCAATCAAACCAGGACACGCTTGAGGTTGGAAAGGGAAGCTATTCATTCATGGCTTGCATAATCTGGGGCTCCCTAGGCCAACTCAGTCTTGGTCATCTACTTGGAGTGACAGGTCTGTGTAATTTTGTTCTGGAAATGATCTGATGATGGATTGATAGGCAGTAAACCAGACATGTGGAGAATGCTCCTTTTTTTTTTTTTAAGATCTATGTATTTAGGCCCTGCCTGGTGGTGCAATGGGTTGGGACGCAGCACTGCAAGCTAGCCACAGCCGCTTTAGTGCAAGTTCAATCCCTGACCCCCGAGGTGACCCACATGGCACAGCAGGTCTCAGCAGCGGGCGAGACAGGAGAGGTCTGCTGTGCCATATGGGTGACCTCCCTGGCCAGGAATCGAACTCATGGCTGTGGGTAGCTTCATAGTGCTGCGCTTTATTAACCAGTTGTGCCACCAAGGAGGGCCCAGAGAATGCTCTTTTACAGTACCACTGAGTGTAGTTCCCAAACATGCGTGCTAGATTGTCGAAGAATCTTAGAAAATCCATTTTCTCACCTAATTAGATTTAAAAAGAAAGAGGTAGGGACTGTTAGCATCTCCACTGTGCAAAAGAAGAAACTGAGGCACAAGGAGATTGAGATCTGTGGGCCCTGACACAGGGAGAAACTGAGGCACAGGAGGCTCCAGCGCTCTGGGTCACTCAGCTAGTGAGTGAGGGGCCCGTACCCCAAAAGGCGTTGAGTTTTCTCTGGAATAAGGCGGTGGGGTAGTGCTGCGACCTCCCCAGACGCCCCAGCCCTCGCCCTCCACAGGTGAAGCTCTGCGACTTCGGCTTCGCGCGCATCATCGGCGAGAAGTCCTTCCGGCGCTCGGTGGTGGGCACACCAGCCTACCTGGCGCCCGAGGTGCTGCTCAACCAGGGCTACAACCGCTCGCTGGACATGTGGTCCGTGGGCGTAATCATGTACGTCAGCCTCAGCGGCACGTTCCCCTTCAACGAGGACGAAGACATCAACGACCAGATCCAGAACGCAGCCTTCATGTACCCCACCTGCCCCTGGAGCCGCATCTCTGCCGGAGGTGTGCTGGGACCTACCCCTGCCCTGGGGGGCGGGCTGGGGGCGCGGGCCAGGCGGGGCCACGGGCGGGGGCCTTTAGGCTGCCTGGCTTCGGGCACCTGAGGGGCTCCCTGGACTCCCGGGCGATACTAGATGAGGTGGGTTGAAGAAAAAGTGTCTCCAAAGCGTTCAGACAGGCCTTGGTTGGCACCTTGCGGGCTGGGTGGGAATTCGACTTTCTAGGACAGGACCTGGAAAGAGAAAGCCAAAGGTCTGGGGTACGGAGTAGAAGGGGCAGGTCCTCCCAGAACCTGGCTGGCCCTGGAGTTTGGGGGCTATGAACCCTGAAAGGATTAGCAGTGTAAAAGAGGTTAAGCCTGGGGGCAGCGTTAAGGAAGAAGGGCTTGACTGGGGTGCCAGCTGCAGGAAAAGGTGTTGACCCTGGCCTCAGGAAAGCGCTAAGGAAGAGAAAGTGGGGGTGACCCGAGCCCCGGTGTGAGGTCGGGGATCCTCAGGGTGGTCTTCTGGGACCTGCTCAGAAGTTCCTTAGTGAAAGTACATCGCATGTGCCTGAATAAATCCCGTGAACTGGCGTGAGAGAACCTGTGGGTATGGATGGGTGCCCGTGAGCTCACACAGCAAGGCTTTGCCCTTCAGGTTGCTGATTGGGGAGTCTCAGGCAAGTGCTGTCTTGTTTCGAATGCCTGACACGCTCTAATCCTCCTTTTTACAAAGAACCTGTCTCAGTCTGTGGGCCTTCCCTAAGAAACTGGTTCACGACCATCCAAGAGAAGGGCTTTATTTTTGTGGACATCGCAAGTGAGCCCCATTGGCCAGGGTGGATGTAAAGTTTCCATTTAAAACAAATTAATTTTTACCTTAAAAAATGAAATGCAAATGCACTGGACTATGTGATGGCACACGGGTGATTTGGGACGGGTGATGGGAAGCCCACAGGGATTACAACTGAGATGGAAAAATGCACAAAATGATGTAAAAATAAATATGTATATTTTTTAAATGAAATGAGGGTCCTCCTTCGTGGTGCAATGGATTAGGATGCAGCACTGCCAGCTGGCTGCTACCACTTTAGTGCCAATTCGATCCCCAGCCACGGAGGTGACCCACGTGGCATGGCAGACCTCTCCTGACCTGCCCGCTGCTCCCCTCAGCAGTGTAGTTTGTCAGTCTGCCTGTTCTGCTCCCCACTCTGTCTCTGATGAAGCCTCTCACCACCCCTTCACCTCTGGCCTGCATCCCAGCTCTGTATGCATCAATCAATAAATAAATCATTTTTTAAAATCTAAAATCTGAACCAAAAAAATGAAATGAGTAAAGGTAGATTGTTTTAAGATACCATTTTACTGATGTTCACACAGGTTAAATACTGGCCTGATTCAAAATGTTTTGTTTTGTTTTTTAAGATTTTATATTTTTATGCATACAGAACTGGGGTACAGGCCAGAGGTGCAGGGCTGGTGAGAGGACACCAGAGACAGAGCGGGGAGGAACACATGCAGATTGAGAAGTACTCTGCTGAGGGGAGCAGCGTGTGGGTCAGGAGAGGTCTGCCATACCATTTGGGTCACCTCCCTGGCCAGGCCGGCCCGGAGGTCAAACTCATGCTGAAGCGGCTGCAGCTAGCTTCATAGTGCTGTGCTTTAACCTACTGTGCCACCAGGCAGGGCCCTGCAATCTGTTTTTCAACTTGCATTGTCTACTGCACAGATTGTCTTGGACAAATTGGCTTAAAAATATTAAGTGAAGAATATAGATGGACATGTGTATGATAAAACTTAGGACAGGAACACAGGAATGAGGAAAACAGGTAGAGACTGGCGAAGAGATGGAGCAGTGTTTGTGCTGTGGTGTGATAGTGGTGAAACGAATTTGAAATTTAATGACCAATGAGCGAGTGAGTGGTGCAGGTGAGGCTTCCCCGCCCCGTACCCCCTCAAGGGTCAGTGCAGAAGGAAGGCCTGGATGGCCGGCAGGTAGACTGGGGTGACCTGTGGAAGAAGGGTGGCACCTCACTTCATCCTGCAGGGATTGAACTGTCTCTTCCCCCCTCAAACCCCCCCCCCCCCCGCAGCCATCGACCTCATCAACAACCTGCTGCAGGTGAAAATGCGCAAGCGCTACAGCGTGGACAAGTCTCTCAGCCACCCCTGGTTACAGGTGATGCGGGGAGTGGAGAAGATGCCTCAGCTGGGGTGGGGGAAAGAGTGGAGCTAGGTTTTTATTGGTCGGCCAGGTAGTGAAGGCTGTGAGCACTTTTCCCGTGGCTGGGGAACGTGACCGAGCGACCATTGGCTGGGCTGCCGAGGGGGTGGAGCTACATCCCCATTGGCTGCGCTGGCGGGAGGGGTGTGGCCTCACCTGGCTCTCCGGGGCGGTGCACCTCACGGGCGGCTCAGCGGCTATTGGCTGCCCTCGGTGCAACCTGACGGGAACGGTTCTTCCCGGGGCCCAGGAGTACCAGACGTGGCTGGACCTGCGAGAGCTGGAGGGCAAGATGGGCGAGCGGTACATCACTCACGAGAGCGACGACGCGCGCTGGGAGCAGTTCGTGGCGGAGCACCCACTGCCCAGCCCCGGGCTCCTGGCGGACGGGGAGTTGGGTGGGGCTCTGCGGCCGCAGGACCACGAGATGCAGGGGCTGGCTGAGCGCATCAGCATCCTCTGAGCCAGTGACCCCGCCCCGGCTGCTCCTGGACGCCGCCCTCCGCCTGCCCTTGGGGAGCAACCCCGCACACACCACCCAGGCGCTGAATTGTACAGAACTGTTCTAGGGAAGCGTCTCCTCGCGAAAATTGGACATTGCCCAAAGGGGGGATTATTTACAAACGTAACTCTCCAACCATTAAAACGGACTTCTCTGTGGCCTCGTACTCTGGCCACGATGCCTTCTCTTATCATTGACTAACCTGTTGTTCACAAGAGGGAGCTCACCTGAAAGGTGGGGAGTGGAGGGGAGCCGAGAATGGGTGAAGGAGTGAAGGGAGGGGAGTTTTGAGAGGAGTTTTGGAGTGAAAATATTTATGGAGGGAGAACTGCGGGGAAGAAGGTGTGGGAGGAAAGAGTCAAGGAGTTGGAAATGGAGGAGAGATGGATGGAGGGGTGGAGACGTTAGAGAAAAGCAAGAAATCTCATGGCCTATGTGATTAATTTGCTTGGTGTCATTAGCACTGTGACAACTACTAATGACAGTGCAGTTAGCACAAGTCTCACCCATAGTAGAAAGCTGATATGCAATATTCAGTGTGTTACCTTGACCCAAAGACTTCTCTCCACACTGATGGGCTCATCCACTAGTTCATCATTTGTCACACTGCTGTGGTGCTGGGGACACAGTGGTGTCCAGGCTTTATCTTCTTTTTTCATCATCCAGTCAGGAGAGAGACGGGGCTCTGGACAGCCATGACCCAGGATGCGCAGGCTGAGGTCAAGCCTGGGAGTCTGCCCCTGAGCAGACCTTAAGCTGCTCCTGGGCCGCTCTCCACCTTTGACCCCTACCCTCCAGCTCCCCATTATCACCCAGACTTTTGACCCTGCAGCTGAGGTTGTGTAATGGGTTCATGCACTGAAGAAGTTGTTGCATCTGGTCATGCTAAGACACACACCATAAAAACATTTCTGAGTCCCCTAGTTAGCAGTGGGCTTAGGTTATCACCAGCACTTATGGGCCAGGGCTCCTTCTTGACTGACATCAACTAGCCCATCTGCTGGTTGGCTCTGGAGCTGCAGCTAAAAAGCTCCATGAGTCTCAAGGAGGCTCTTCAGGTGAGCCAGAATGCCTGGGGGTGTCATGGGAGCTTATACTAGTGGGAAGGTCATAGGCTCCATTGTGAAAACCTGACTTTCTCCTTTGTGTCCATAAATATCCCCCAACCCATGGCAGGAAGATCCAGAGCATTTTAAGATCCAAGAGTGTAGACACTAGAGACATCCGTCCCCATGATGCACTCTGTCTCAGCCCCACTCCTACTGCTCATGTCCTGAGACCAGAAATTAAAGACCTGAACCAAAACAGTGTGGACTGGGAAAATGCCAACTGCAGGGCTCCAGGAGACAGTCTGACATTGCGAGGGTGCCCCAGCAGGTAAAATCAGATCCGCACAATACTGCAAAGGTCCCACACCCTAGAGGCAAAAACAGTCCATCCTGTCAGGCCCGGGCCACCACAATCAAGATCAGGGCTCCAGTGCTAACCTTGACAGAAACATGCAAATGCAAACAAAAGGGACACTGGACTTTCCCATATGGAAACCAACTGGAATGTGATTTTCTACCCAGACTCACTTCCAGCTGACTTTCTCCTTTATGTCCATAAATACCCCTCAACCCACACCGGAAGTGACTGTCCCCATTAATAGACCTCCCGGCCCTATTTTAGCTTTCACTGGCCACACCCACCCTGTAGGTAACTCAGCCCTTCCCTGCCACAGTGGTCAGTGGCTGTGGTGAGACCCAGCTGGCAGTTAGCCAGTTTTCCCTTGTATAAACCACTCTTGTGTGGTCACACAATTTTTTACTCAACCTTCTCGGATACAGCTTCTAGGAGTGGATATCCTGTCAGTCAGGAATGTGAGCACTAACTTCAGGTGGGTGAGAGGACCTCTCCCAGGATGACTTTTCCAATTCATCTTAATCCATTACCTTGCTCTCCACCTCCCAAAATAACAACAACAGAATCCAACCCATCAACTTCTCCGGCAGGCTCAAGCAGTCAAGATCTGCTTATCTGCATTCCAGGCTCCTAATACCACCTTCAGCCCCAGCAACATGCCTACCCTGTCCAGCAAGAGCCCATGATCATTAAGAATGGCACAGATCAGGCGTCCCTGATGGCACACAGGGGTTAAAGTCTCAGCATTATCAAGCTATCAGCAGCCACTGCAGCAAGAGTTTGGTCCCTGGCCAGGGAGTGACCCACAGGGCGCAGCAGACCTCTCCTGTCTCCCTGCTGCTCCCCTCAGCAGTGCATTTTGGTCATTTAATCTGTTCTGCTCTCCACTCTGCCTCCGGTGAATCCTCTCACTGCCCCTGCCTCTCTGGCCTGTACCCCAATTCTTGTATGCATAAATAAACCTTTAAAAAAACTTATTTTAAAAAGAAAAAAAAAAGAGAACCCTGACAGTCCCCTTTTCTTTCTTATTCACTATTTATGAGTGAGACAGGAGAGATCTGCCATGCCATATAGGTCACCTCCCTGGCTGGGGATTGCACTTGTGCTGAAGCCGCTGTGCCAGCTTCATAGTGCTGTACTTTAACCTGTTGCACCACCAGGGGAAGCCCAGTCCCCCTTTTTTCATCCCCACCCTGGCCCTGCTGTGTATGGGCCCATGAGGTTATTTGGGCTTTCAGTCAACTCTCAGGTGATCTTTGATTATCTACCTCCAACATCCTGCTTCAACACCATCTCTACAGGTCTTCAAATAATGCTATTTCCTTCAGTATCTTTCCTTATCATGTAGACAAAGATAACACAATCCTGGCTGTTGAATGAAAGCTCCTTTCTTGAGGATCTGGTTTTGTTATCTGGACATGGTTTCACTTAACACCCCAGTTTGCAAAGACCTACAGAAAACCTACAGAAGAATTAATGTCTTCCCCTCTACCTTCTGGCTTGTATTGAGCACTGTGCCACACCCCAACTCCTAGCTCACCCCTCCATTGTGTTGGGAACCGCTTCCTTTCTTTCCTAATTTTGAATCAGGATCCCTGTGCATCTTTACAGCCTGGCAGCCCCTTCTTAGGACTCAGTATCTGTCATCACACTTTGTTTCTGCTGTAAATGACACCCTAACAACCCCTAACAAGCCGCCTCCTTGCCTAACCCACCCGGACTTTCCAGCAACACAGCCAGAGTCAGGCGCTGCTGCTGACAGTCTCGGTACCGGTGACAGTGATGCTCTAGGGACTCATCTCATGGCCCAAGTTCTGTCCCTGCAGTTTCTCCTTAGTTTTAATCAGTATTTGTTTTCTGGTCACTCAAATAGCACGATTAATGCCAGCGATGCATGCTTTACATCAACCCAACAGGTTCCTCTTCACTGGCTACCTGGCAGAGGTGGGCAGAGATGGAGACACTGAGGCACAGGGTAGGGACGCAGTTTCCCAAGGTCACTGGCTGGAAAAATGGCAGAGCTGGGTAACCTGCAGGCAGTCTTTACTGTCAAATGCTACCACTCCTCAACAGCTCAGGAGCAGGTCGCCTGGTGCACGGAGACCATAAAAGAGAGGAGTCCTCCTTGAACTCTTGGACATTGGCTTTTAAGGAGCCAAAGTCTGAGAAATGGGTATCAACCTGGAGGTGGAGATCCTTAAAGGACGCACACCGATGTAGTGACACAGGCCGCCACCTGAGGGGGCACCAGCCCCGCTCCAGGGGTCTGGGGAGGGAGGAGGGACCTTGGAAACCAATGTCAGGCTCCGGCTCTGAGGACCCTGAACGTGAGAACAGAGCATCTTAGAAGGCTAAGAACAAAGCCTCTCAGACGGTAGAACAAAAGCCCCTGGAATCGCAGGCTAGTGAGCGCACCGCCTCACAGCGTCTGGGAGACAAAGATGCTCAGATTCTTTTCTCAGAATCTCCCACCCAGGGTCTGTCATTCTAGGGGGCGAGGTAGGACGGTTCTTTGACTCTTAGAAACAGATTGGCCACATAACTTGCGGGTCCTGGTGCAAAATGCAAAGTACGGGGCGATTTTGTTCTAAAAATGAAAATTTCAAAAAGTGACAGCAGAACATGAAACCAAACAAGGGGCATTTCTAAACTGTTGGCAGGCGGGTGAAGTCGACCCGACCAGCAGCATCACTAGATGTGGGGAACGTCGGTCTTAGCAGGCCTGGCCCTCAAGTTTTACAAGCTGAGTGTCTTGGAAGACTTCGTGGAAGAGGAGGCAGAATAGGACACGACTCTTTAACCCCTTCCGCCCCCCCACCCCCCCCACCCCAACCCGCGCAGCCTCAGCTCAGGGTTTCCAGGGGTTGAGGGAGAGGAGCCGCTGCCAACCCGTCACGTGGACCCATTCTCTATTTATAGCTCTCCCCTGCCCCTCCCGCAGGACAGCCCAATGGTAGCCAGCACTCGCCCGCAAGGGGGCGGAACCAGCTGCGAATGGGCCGCAGAGACCAATGACTTAGGCGTAAGGGTGGGCTTGTTTCATTGTGACGCGAGGGAGGCGTGGCCAGGGCCCTAAGGCAAGCAATTGGGGGGCGTGGCGAGGCCCGCCCTTAAGCAAAGCGAGTAGGCCGTAGCGAGCATGCGTCCCGTTGGGGGCGCGGGTGCACGGCCGAATGTGCCGTAAGGCAAGGCACCCAATAGGCGACTGTTGCTCTGTCGCCGGGGGCGTGGCCATGCAGATAAGGCGCGGGTGGGCGGCCCAATGGGCGGGCGCCTATGCAGATGAGACGGTGACAGCCGGGCCAGCGGGCGGGCGGGCAGGCGGGCTGTTGGGGCGGGGAGGTGGGACCGGCAGAGGGGTGGCCGCGGGGCCCGGCCGGGCTGGGGCGGGGGGCCGCAGCCATGATCCGGGCCTTCTCGTTCCCGGTGAGCCCCGAAAGGGGCCGGCTGCGGGGCTGGCTGGAGGGCAGCCTGGCCGGGCTCTGCGAGTTGCACTGGCTCCGGGAGAGACAGGAGTACCGCGTGCAGCAGGCGCTGCGGCTGGCCCAGCCCGGAATGGGGGGCGCCGAGGCCGAGGACGAGGAGGACGCCGAGGAGGACGAAGATGCGGCGGCGGCGCGCCGGGCCGCAGCCGCCCTGGAAGAGCAGCTGGTGAGGGGCCGCCTGTCCGTCTGTCCCTTCGCCCCCGTCTGTATCTGTCTGCCTGCCTGTCTGTCTGTCTGGGTTGGAAGCTCGGACAGCCTCCCTAGTGGGGGAGGGGGAGGGAGATAGGGGAGGGGGTGGGGCTCGAGACCTGGGAGTCTGGGCGGCGGGCGGGATCTGGCGAAGGGGGGACTGCATCGCCTCCGCTGAAGCCTCCTGAAAATCCCTTCCCCGTAGAAAATCCTCCTAGGCTGTAAGTACGTGTCAAACCCTGGTTGAGTGCTTGGCTTGCGTGGTCTTCCTGCAGCATGGGGGCTTCGGAATGATGGCCCCCATTTTACAGAAAAAGAAACTGAGGTTCAGAGAGAGCAAGCGACTCACCCAAGGTCACACAGCCTGGGATCCAAACATGCCCCCCTCCGGGCGCTTTCCCAGGTCTCCATCTTCCCTAAGTCCTGGTGTGCTTGGAGATCTCCAGAGGGGGCGGGGTAGGGGTAGGGCATCTTAGGGCCTCCCGAGGGAGGGATCGTTGAAACTCTCAGTCCTTGAGGACCCCGTGCAGATCTTGACCCTCGGGTGACACTTCCCCCTTTCTCCTACCTGCTCCCAGCCCTGGTTATGCCAAGAGGAGGCAAGCCGAAGTAGTCTGGAAGTCTAGCCCCTGGACTCCATGGGTGCTCTAATGGTGGAAGCTGAGGCAGAGGTCTCCTGAATGACTTAAAGAGGCACCACCCCTCTCGCCCTGTGTCACCCCTTAATTCTTCTGGCGTCTTCCTGGGTTTCTGGTACCCTCTCTGTACTGCCTCATCTGTGACTTTCTGTGTCTTTCTCCTCGGTCTCTCCTGGCATTTCTACACCTCTCTCTTCCTGCCCCACATCCCTGGCCCTAGCTCTCTCTTCCCCTCCCCCCAATCCGCCAGGGCCCACACCCCTGGTTCTACTAGCAGATCCATCCCCAAGCCTGTGTGTGGTCAGAGCTTCCCGTTTGGGGAAACCTGAGCCTAGGGGGAGGGGGAGGGGGCGCTCCCTACTGCTGACCTCCACTGCCCCTCCCCAGATGGGGAATGAGGAGAGGGTCTGAAGCTGGACTCCGGGGCTGCCCGCCCAGCCCCTCCCCCGATCGGGAGTGGGACCCTGCACATTCTTCTTGGAAACCGAAACAGCTGTGGGAGGCCCCACCCCCTCCAAAGTTAGAGACGCGTTGTGGGGGCCTTCCCCAGCTCCCCCCCACCCCCAGCTGGCTGGGCCTGGAAAGGCGCCTCCCATCTCTAGGAGGGGGAAGACACACACGGGAAGGGCAAGCGTGTCCTTCCTCCCTGAGCCCCCAGTCTGTCCCTCGCGCTTCCTTCATCTCCCCCTTGTCACCCCTCAGCTTCCCCATCTCTGCTGCCTGTTCTCCCCTTCTCTGTCCCTCTGTTTGCCCTCCCCCACCCCAGCGCTCAGTTTCCCGCCCCTCACCCCCCCATGAGGTGGTAGTGGAGAGGCCTCTCTCCCTACAGTCTCCAGGCAAAGCTCCGTCCCAGCGTCGGGAGGAGGCGGTGGCAGGCGGCGGGAGGGAGACAGCGCACCGAGGGAGGAGCGCAGAAGCGCTAAATATAAACTCGGGTGCTGGGGGTTCCTGGGTCCTTCTGAAGAGCGGGTGGGGGATCTTCTGATCCCCAGCCTCTGTTTCAGATGCTTACCCCTCCCACCTCCCCACCCCCTGCTGGAAAGCACTCCCCCTTTGAGGCCAGAAAGAGGAGGCAGACTTGATTGGTCTCCAATAGGTGTGACAGGGATGCAGGTTCAGACTAGGGCAAAGTCAGGGGCAAGAGGCAAGAATCCCGGATGGGGCGCGGTCCCCTTCTCTCCCACCAAGGCAAAGGGGCTGGCAATGGAGGAGGGGCATTGGGGGCAGGCAGGGAACCCCTATCCGGCCAAGCACCTCTGGTCTTTTAAAGATTTGTCCCTTTGCAGTCAGAGGGATTGAGGTAAGACTTTCAAACAGAGATGTGTAGATTGGGGTTGGGCGTGGTGGGGTCCAGGCATGGGGAAGAGGGGGCCTCTTCTTAGCTCCTGCTCTTCCTGCAGAGAAGAACTGAGACTAGACCTGCAGACTTTACCCCCCATCTATTCCTTGATGTTTGTTTTTAACTAGTGAACTAGTGAAAGAACCATAGTTTTCTTATAATAATACAAGTTAGTGTGTATTAAGTTTTAAAAGAAACTGCTGTTTCAACTCATCAACTCCTCACAACCCCACAAACACACAAGGGGTCCAGAGAGGTGTAGTAACTGGCTCAACGCCACACAGCTGGGAGGTAGCCGAACTGAATCTGAGCGCTGGCAATGTGGCTCCAAGTCATCCTTCATTCTACCATCTTCTGCCCTCATCCCTCTCTTGTCCCCCTAAATGCAGCCCCTCCCTGAGATCCCCACCACAGGCACCTGTTGGAAGACCCTTGAGACCCCTTCCAATGCTTCTGCTCACAGAAAACTCTAAGAAGCTAGTTTGCCTTTACTTTACAAGTTCCAGTCTCTGAGGGGCGATCCCAGAGACCGCCTGTGGTTCTCAAAGTGTGGCTTCGAGGCACCACCAGAGAACTTCCTATTGATTGAAAGAAGTGTGAGTTCTTGGGCGCCAGACCCGAGTCACTCAGGTTTAACAGGCTCCAGGTAACTGGCCACCCTCTGACTATCCGCCCAGCTCCTGTCTCCACTACATGCTCTATCTGGCTGACGCTTCTACAGAGGGATTCATTCCATCGGAAAACTCCGGTATTCTGCGGTGTAGACAGTCCTGGGTCGCTAACAGATCACAGGTCACATCTACCATGGTGGCCCCAAAGCTGCCCTCCAGCCAGGTGTGAAGAAGGCGCCCTGCCTAGGGGTGTGCGATTACACAACCCCCCTGAGCCACTCATTCCCCCCAACACTGCATGAGCACCTACTCTGTGCCAAGCACTGGAGGGTGGGGTGGGGGTGATTGCTGTAGAGAAGGAAAATTTCTGCCCTCCTGGTGGACAGTGACTGAGGGGGAACATCCAGAATCTGCCTATAAGTAACCTTGAGCCAGATCTTTCCTGGGGGGGTGCCTCAAAGCAGAGCAAAGGGGTGAGGATGGGGGTGGGGGGCTCTTTGGAAAGAGCCATCAAGGGCCAGGTCTCCTAAGCAAAGATGTGAAGGAAGCCCGGGAGTGAGCTGCTAGCAGGCTGTCGGGGGAGACCAGCCCACTGCCCAGGGGCCTGGGCAAGGGACTCGAGCAGGCCGGGGCGGCTGGAACAGGGAGCCAGGGGCGATCTGCGTTAAGGCGGGTCCTGACTCCAGACGCCCTCCGCTGCTGCCCAGCCAGCTGCCTTCCTGGGAGCTGCTCCAAGAGGAAGCCACCCTGAGCACCTCTGCACACCCAGGGCCGCGGCCCAGAGGGGAAGAGAGTGGAAGGATCTGCTGACTTTCCTCCATAAACAAGCCCAGATGGGGGCTTCTCTCTGGGGTGGGGGAGGGGTGGGGAAGTAGGGCCCAAATGAGCAGCCGCAGGAGCCGGGATCGGAAGCTGGGGGTGGGGGGTGTCTGCGGGGAGGCTGGCTGGTCTTTCTGCCCTAAATAGGCAGGGCTGGGCGCCGGCCCTCCAGGCCCCTCCTCCTCCCCCGCCCTCCTGCGGTCCAGACAAGCTGCCTTTGTCTGAGGGTCAACCGTCAGCCTGGGGCTGCTGCCACCTCTGGCCTCACCAGACCCGTGTGAAACTCTTCTTGGCGCTGACCTTGTTTCCCCAAAAGGGGTTAAGTCCTCGAGTCTGGGGGCTCCCCTCTGTGTTCACTTAGCCACACCCCATAAGGAGCGGGTCCTGCTGCAAGGATGGGGTAGACTCGACAGGAACCTCTGGGCCTGAGAGGTGGCGACAGGTACTGGGAGTGTCAGGGAGGCAATGGAAGTGAGGAGCCCCTGGGCTCACCGCTGGGGTACCACTCAGGCTATGTGCCCAAGGACCTTGCAGTAGCCATGGGGGCTTCCGCCAGTAGAAGCAAAGTTCTTTTGAGTCGTGGTGGCCTTTCTTACCACTTCAGGGTGTCAGTCCGCAGCAGGGAGGATGTGAAGCCTTGTCAAAGAAAGTTCTCCTGGTGATGAGGGGCGGTGGGGAAAATAGGAGCATCTGAGAAGGTCGAGGCCATGCCACCAATGGCTAAGGGCCCTGCCAGGTCCTGGACACCAGCTTTGTAGCAGAGAACTGCATTTGCAGATAGAAGACCTAAAGTTAGATCAAAGAGCGACATTTACTTATTTATTTTAAAGATTTACTTTATTTATTCATCCAAGAACTGGGGTACAGGCCAGAGGTGTGGGGTAAGGGGATGAGAGAATTCACCAGAGACAGAGTGGGGTGCAGAACATGCGGAGCTATTGAAATCCACTGTTGAGGGGTGCAGCAGGGAGACAGGAGAGGTCTGCTGTGCCATGTGGGTCACCTCCCTGGCTGGGGATCGAACTCAATCTGCAGTGGCTGCTGATAGCTTCATAGTGCTGAGACTTAAGCCCTTGCGCCACCAGGGAGGCAAAGAGGGACATTCACAGGGGTTATAGAGCTAAGGGCACAGCTGGAGAGCACAGCTGGTGGGAGGGGACCAGGGATCAGACATTCTGAGGCCCAAAGGAAATGAGCTGGTTGTTGCACAAGTAACAGAAAGACTTCTAGTGGGGATGAAGGGATGGAAATCTCAAGGGAGACCCATGGACTCAGGTTCTGCTTTTGAAGTCTGAGCATCACTGTCAAGGTGAAACTGCCCATGAGCCCCTTGGAATAGGGGACCAGTGGGCAGAGGACTGGGGGGGGGTCTCCTGACCAATCTGCTCTCCCCATGCCCTCAGGAGGCCTTGCCTGGGCTTATCTGGGATCTGGGCCAGCAGCTGGGAGACCTGAGCCTGGAGTCTGGGGGCCTGGAACAGGAGAGCGGGCGCAGCTCAGGTGAGCACCGGGAGAGGGAGCGGGATCTCCCTGGGATACCTCAATCTCCCTCACTATCCCCCATCTCTCAGACTCCCCTGTTTCTGCCTCTTGTTCTCCTCCTTTCCCCACCCCTACATTCCCCACTCAGCCTCCCTGATCGTCTCTCCCCCTCTCCCTGGGATGCAGGCTTCTATGAAGACCCCAGCTCCACAGGAGGCCCAGACTCACCACCCTCCACCTTCTGTGGGGACAGCGGCTTCTCTGGATCTGGCTCTTATGGACGCCTGGGTCCCTCTGAACCCCGGGGCATCTATGCGAGCGAGAGGCCCAAGTCCCTAGGTAAGATGGGTGGGGTTGAGGCCCTGAGAGCCAGGAAATGGACAGTAAGAGGATGCTTTTGAAACCTACTTGGATTTGAATCCTGGCCGTGACAATTCCTTCCGTGCAATTTCAAGCACATGCCTTCATTCTGGGCCTGTTTCTCCAGTTAAGATGGGTCAGTCTTAGCATCCAGCTCACAGGGAAGCTTTGAATTCGTGAGGGTTCCCTGCCCTGAGGCACTGGACCTAGCCCCTGCCAGATGCTCAGTAAGCAGGAACTGCTGTTCCTTGCGCAAGTACATTTAGAGCCTCTGCTACATCCTGCCCTAGCAGTCACGATCCTGAGGGACACAGCCATGAACACATCCCTGCCGTCATGGAGTTGACAGCCTAGTGGGAGACTTACTATCATATACACGATAAATAGGTAAAATATATAGGGTACTAGATACATGTATGATGAAAAGCTAGAAAAGGGGCTAAGGTGTGTGCCTTGGAATGGGGGAGATAATTGCAATTTTAGAAACTATGGCAAGACGGGAGGGAGGGTATTACCGAGACTGACATTTGAGTGGCTTCCCAAGTAAGGAGGTGGGCCAAGCAGCTATCCTGAGGGAGGAGCTGTCCAGGCAGCAGGCACAGCAAGTGCAAAGGCCCTGTGGCCACAGCCTAGTGAGCCATCCAGGGGAACAATGAAGACAGAAGAGGGGTTAGGGACCGTAGAGAGAAGCAGGATGGATGCCCCATAGTCTGGTGAAGATTTGTTATGATCCCCAAGTGAGATAAGGGGTGTGGGGGACTGATGAGGAGGGGTGTATGAGAGAGAGATGGAACCAGGTCCTGCGAGGCTCACCGAGGACCTCTCCACGCTCCCCCTTTTTGCCTCTTCCCCTAGGAGATGCCAGCCCCAGCGCTCCTGAGGCGGTGAGCGCTAGAGCACCGGTGCCTAGGTCCTTCTCTGCACCCTACCCGACAGCGGCGGGGTCTGCAGGCCCTGAGGCCTGCTCCTCCGCCGAGAGGCGAGCCCGCGCAGGGCCCTTCCTGACGCCCAGCCCCCTGCACGCGGTGGCCCTGCGCAGCCCGA